ACCCTAAACCGTCAACCCTCAACCCTCAACCCTAAACCCTAAACCCTAAACCCTAAACCCTAAACCCTAAACCCTAAACCCTAAACCCTAAACCCTAAACCCTAAACCCTAAACCCTAAACCCTAAACCCTAAACCCTAAACCCTAAACCCTAAACCCTTAGCCCTAAACCCTAAACCCTAAACCCTGGCTTGGTCTGCTCACGGGGCTGGTGAGTAGTTGTAGCCCTGAACCATGGACCCTCAATCCTGAATCCGTTATCTTCAACCTGCTTTTGGGTTTAGGGTTTAGGGTTTAGGGTTTAAGGTTTAGGGTTTAGGGTTTAGGGCTTAGGGTTTAGGGCTTAGGGCTTAGGGCTTAGGATTTTGTGCAGAGTCGGGCTCGCGAAGCCCCTGCACCCATGACAATCAGGTTTAGGGTCTCAAGCCTTACCCGAAACCCCTAAACCGTAAACCCTAAACCCTAAACCGTGAACCCTAAACCCTAAACCCTAAACCTTAAACTGTAAACCTCTGAGCCTGAACGCCTTGGCTTCAGGCACAAGGCTGCAGAGTAGGTCACCGAGACACCCGATGCTAAGCCACCCCTATCTATGAATCCCCGGGTAGAAAAAACATAGCTAGGACCCCCAACCCAGACCCTAAAACCCTGAAAACCCTAAACCCCAAACTAACCCTAGAACTCTAAAACACCAAAGTAAACCCTAAACGAAAGCCCTAAAACCCTAAAACCCTAGGACCCTAAAACCCTGAAACCCTACACCCTAACCCTAAACCCTAACATCCTAAACCCTAAACCCCAAACCCTAAACCCTAAATTTCAACCCTAAACCCCAAACCCCAAGCCCCAAACCCTAAACCCTAAACCCTAAACCCTAAACCCTAAACAGGCGGCGCCTGCGCCTCTGGAGCCCTCTCGGAGCTTTGCAGCCTGGACGAGGTCGAGGCCGGGTTTGGGGTTTAGGGTTTAGGGTTAGGGTTTAGGGTTTAGGGTTTAGGGTTTAGGGTTTAGGGTTTAGGGTTTAGGGTTTAGGGTTTAGGGTTTAGGGCTTAGGGCTTAGGGCTTAGGGCTTAGGGCTATAGGGATTAGGGTTAGGGATTAGGGATTAGGGATTAGGGATTAGGGATTAGGGATTAGGGAGTAGGGTGAGGAGTTTAGGGTTCAGGGTTTAGGGTTTAGGGACTTTCTGGGGAGTGTTAGGGCACCTTGGGTTACACACACCCCCTTGAACCCCCCTCTAATCCCCAAACCCCAAACCCCAAACCCCAAACCCCAAACCCCAAACCCCAAACCCCAAACCCCAAACCCCAAACCCCAAACCCCAAACCCCAAACCCCAAAACCCAAACCCCAAACCCCAAACACCAAACCCCAAACCCCAAACCCCAAACCCCAAACCCCAAACCCCAAACCCCAAACCCCAAAACCCAAAACCCAAACCCCAAAACCCAAACCCCAAACCCGAAACCCGAAACCCGAAACCCGAAACCCTAAACCCTGAACCCGCCTTGATCCTTCCCTAAACCCCATAAGAAGTGCCGAAGGACTCTTCGGGCTCAAGCGATTCCGGGGACGACGCCAAGGACGATGCTAAGCCTGGGCCCGCCAGAGTTTAGGCTGCGGGTTTTTTAGGGGTTGCAGGGTTTAGGGTTTAGGGTTTAGGGTTTAGGGCTACTTGCCCCTACACCCTAAACCCTTAACCCTCAAGCCTAAACCGTGAACCTTGAAACAGCCTTCCAACCCAAGTCCTAGATCCGAACCTCGAAGCTGTTTTATCGGGTGGGGCTGATCTAACTCGGGGACCCTTTTCGATTCCTACAAAGAGCCTACAAAAGAGAAATCCAGAGAGACAGAGAGACGTAGTGAACCTGTACACACCATACCCCCCCCCACACAAAAAAAAAGAAAACAACCGATAAGGGCACATGATGCAGTTCAACCCCAAACCCAAACCGAAATCCCAAAGCCTAAACCCTAAACCCCCGCAAAAAGGCACATCACGTAGCTCCTGGGTTTAGGCTTGCGGCGTTTTGCCTTCAGCGCCACCTGCGTGCTTGCACAGAGGCCTGTCACAACAAGCGAGGATCCACTGGCGCACCTGTTGAAGATGGCCTTTTCCTTACACCCGAACTTCCGAACAGCACCCCCCCCCCCCCCACCCACAAAGACTAGAAGGAAAAGAAAATCATCATAACAACATCGAAGCATCGCAACAATAGTATTAAAACCTGTCAATAGTAGTAGAAAAAACAGACACATATCCCCACACGTTTTATGACTATGTGTATACATGCATATACATATTATAAATACACCCAGATATGTATAAATATGTAAATATACAAATAAATATAAATATGAAAATATAAATAAATATAAATACATATAAATATATATATATATATATACATATATATTCATATACTAACTTGCCGACCTTTTGCTTCGGTCTGGGTGCTCCTCGGATCCTGCTGCTTGGCACGCCTGGGCATCACAAGGCCAGAGATCCGAGCATCAACGTCGAAATGCATCCAAAGAGCTCCCAAAGTACGGTTTAGGGTTTAGGGTTTAGGGTTTAGGGTTTAGGGTTTAGGGTTTAGGGTTTAGGGTTTAGGGTATAGGGTTCAGGGTTTAGGGTTTAGGGTTTAGTAAAGCCAGCAGAAAGTCTTCCTTAGGCCCTACCCACCCCAAACAACAAACAACGCAGTTGGCGTCGGGTTTGCGTCAGCGAATGTGCGGGTACGCCTTTCCTTAGAGTTGGAACAGTTAGGGGCGCGCACTCCCTAACCCTACGTTAAAACTCTGAACCTTAAAGCCTTAAAGCCCTATAAGCCCTCTAAGCCCTAAAGCCCCAAGCCCTGACTGAAGCAGGCAAAACCCAAAGATCCTAAAACCTGCCTAAAACGCCAGAGCCCTAAACCAGAAGCCTTAAACCCGACCGGCCCCCAGCTATACCGGAGTACCTAGACAACCCTAAAGCGCGAAAGCCTAAACCTTAGTACTTCAAACTTAAACTTTACGACCTTAAGCTTTAAGTTATCTAAGCCCTAAAATCCCAAATCCCTAGAACCCTAAGCCCCAAACCCTAGAACGCACCCCACAGCCGAGGGAAACCCTAAGCCCCAAAACCCTAAAACCCTAAACTAAAACCCCAGTAAAACCAACCCACAACCACAGCACCGGGAGGACGGGGGGGGGGGGGGGGTCGGGGGGGGGAGGGGGGGTCAGGGGGGGGGGGGGCGGGGGGGGGGGGCGGGGTGGGGGTGTGGGGGTCGGGGGGCGGGGGGGGGGGGCGGGGTGGGGGTGTGGGGGTCGGGGAGGGGGCGTCTGCGCAGCGCCTGACCACATTCGGTCAGCAGCGCTCTTGCCAATTCAAGTAGATGTTTGGGGTCCAGGATTTAGTCCTAGCAGCGCCAGCCCCCCACAGTCTTAAACAAATAAATGCTCGGAACCCAGGCAAGCTCCTCAGACCGTATAGAGAGACTTGCTTTCAGGTCCAAATACTGGACCATGGGACAATCTGGGGGTTTTAGTGTTTGGGGGTTGGGTGCGGGATTTGGGCACGCCGAGGGTATCCTACCTAGGACTTCTGAGAACAGAAGTTGAAACTTGAGCCCTTACACCACAGATCGCGATACACTAGCCCCCGCATAGGGTTTAGAGTTTAGGGTTTAGGGTTAGGGCTTACTCGTAGGGTTTAGGGTGTAGGGTTTAGGGTCTAGGGTTTAGGGTTTAGGGTTTTGGGTGGCTGTACAGCCTCAGCAGTGGCGGAATCACATTTTCTTTTGGCTCTGGCGCGTTTTTGGTGATGAAGAACTGATCCCTCCAAACCTTATACCCTACGCCCCTTGAAGCCCCAAATTCCTGAACCCGACACCGCCGGATTGTTCAAAGCCTCGATTCAGTCATGGCCAATGATTTCCATCAGGGCAAAAAGGGGAGGAGTGCTTTGAAGTGGCTCCAGCCTTTGCTACCCTAAACCCGTGTGTGTCTGTAAACCCTCTCACAAGCAGAAAGTTTCTGCTAAACCCTGAAAATCCTGAAACTCCCGAAGCTCTGAAGCTTAAACCCTATTGCCCCAGTACCTATACCCCCCCCCCCCCCCCGTCCTCAAGCCTTGCAGCAGGAGACCTTAGGGTTCAGGGTTTAGGGTTTATCGTTTTGGGTGTAGGGTTCTGTGTACTTACTTCGGGTTTAGGTGTTAGGGGGCCAGGGTAGTTTCACTGGGAATCTTTCGCTTGCTTCTCCACTCGCCAGCCGCCCCTTTAAAGTCCTTCCAGGGTTTGGGGTTTAGTGTTTGGGGTTTAGGGTTTAGGGTTTAGGGTGGTGCTCAATCCTGAACCTGCCCCAAACCCTAAGGCCTAAACCCCGTCCCCTCGATTCCCCGCCTGTTGTGCCGGCTCAGTTCCTAGCATGTTGCCGTCCTAAACCTACAACCCTGAACCCTAAACCGCTATCCTTGGATATTGGGCGCTCCTAGAGCAAGTCCCCTAGAACCCCAGAATCCCAAATCCCTTAGGTTTAGGGTTTAGGGTTTAGGGTTCAGGGTTCAGGGTTCAGGGTTTAGGGTTTAGGGTTTAGGGTTTAGGGTTTAGGGTTTAGGCTTGAGGGTTTCCGAAGCCCACAAGTAGAAGCCCGAAGCAACTTCACCAGCGAGCGTTTTGAGCCAGTGTGGCGGCCGCCATCTTGCCACTCCGCTGTAGAGTGGCTGGCTGGTTCTTACTCGGGAATAAGGTTTAGGGTTTAGGGTTTAGGGTTTAGGGTTTAGGGTTTAGGGTTACCCTATATAATCCCTTACAGGGTATATATATAGGGCCCTAATTCCCTCATTCCCTACTAAGAACCAGGGGGTGTAGAGTTGTGGGTGGGGGAGTCTTGGGTCACAACACCCAACGATGTTAGCCCTTGGGTTTAGGATTTAGGGCAATTTAGGGTTTAGCGTTTAGGGTTTAAGGTCTAGGGGTTAGGGTTTAGGTTTATGGAGTGCTCTTGAAAAGGTAATATGCAGATGGAGACCGTGGTCCACAACAGAGCGATCAGTCGGGCGGGCAAGAGCAGCCAGTGGTTGCTCAGCTGCAACATAAGAGGGTTTAGGGTTTAGGGTTTAGGGTTTGGCGTGTTTCTCGGATTTGGGGTTAGTTGGGTTCGGGTGACTGATCTGTGGTGTTTGGCTCGATGCTTCAGTCTTCGGAGCTTCAGATTGGAGGAGGAGCGCTTGTAGGCCATTATTCCCTGTTCTAAGGGTTTAGGTTCCCTTGTAATCCCCTTAAAAAAAACCCAAAAAGTGCACCCTTTCTGTTCCTAGGTTACTCCTGGGTCTAGAAGACCATGACAAGTGTCCTTATTTGGGTTTAAGAGGATCATGTTCAGGCATATTTTTCAGAGGGCTTTAAGGGCCAACCTAGGTTTTGCTTTACCTCACACCGAACCCTCCGAGCCAAAACCTGGATGCGCACTCCCTGAGCTGTCTTTGTTCACATACTTTCTGAGGCCGGGTTGACTTAGGGAATAAATTTCAAGCTCTTCGGAAGCCCACATAACTCATGGATGCTATGTTTTGGTAGCGCTAAACCCTAAACCCTGAACCCTGAACCCTAAACCCTACAGTAAACCCTAAACCCTAAACCATTATAATAAGTAATAAATAATAACACACACATCACGTGGAAGAGCGATGGGAGCCCTCCCTCCTCTGGGACTCTCATCGCCCGATTCTTAAACCTGCAAGAGCACTACATGCTGAAAAGTCGTAACCCCCGAAACCCTAAACCCTAAACCCCAAACCGCAAACCCTAAACCCAAAACTCTAACCCTAAACCCCAAACCCAAACCCGGACGGTCCATGCCCCCTCAATGTTATATGCTCGAACTCCACAGTCCCGATAAAGGAGGTCCTTTAAGGCCCAAGTATTCCCCCTTCAAGCGCATGGAACCCTAAGGGAAGGACCCTTAGGGAAGCCCTGAAAAGCCTAAGCCCTAAAACCCTAAACCCTAAGCCCTACACCCTAAACCCTAGACTCTAAACCCTAAACCCTAAACCCTAAATAAGTGTATCCCTTACGACCCAAGCCCCAACGTTTGCGAGGCTTCAAGCGCTGCGAATGGTTTCGGAGATGCGGGCGAAGGCCGCAGTCGCCAGGTTCTTTCCGGACTTAACCCTCAACCCTAAACCCTAAACTCTATATCAGCCCTGGAACAACCGTTGGATCTACTGTACTACTTGCTTCAGAACCTCCCCAGAATATGACAACAACAAGTACTTGTGTGTAGGATATGCTTGGGCCTCAAACATTGCATTTTAACAGCCAGTCAGCGACAATGAAGCCTTTATTTATGCAGATTCTTCTTGTTCACACTTGGTCACCCCGAAACCACCAACTTCCATAAGCCCCAAAACCCACTAGTCCCAAGCGCGAAGCCTTAAGAACCTGACAGACCGAAACTTCGAAAACCTATAAGCACCCTAAACCCCAAGTCCTAAACCCTGAACCCAATACTCATTCAGGAGGTGCGATGCGACGTTATCACTTTCAGTTCTCTCCTGAGCTCCTGTGAAGCTTTGCAGCAATGATTTGGGGTTCAGGGTTTGGGGTTTAGGGGTTTATGGTTTAGGGTTTAGGGTTTGGAGGTCAAAATCCTAGGCCTTCTGGTCTGGAGTAGACGCCCATGAGTTGTCCTAGACCAGGAGCCCTAAGCCCACAACCCTCCAAGTGATATGGAGCTTTCTAAACCCTTAGGCCCCCACTCCCCCTGGTTTTTAGTAGGGAATGAGGAAGCTAAGCCCTAAACCCGAAACCCTAAACCCTAAACCCCCTTTGAGGGATCGAACCCTAAACTCGAAACCCTAAACCTTAAGGTAAATCCCTTCAGAAAGCGGGGTCTTGGGACTCTTCGGGAGGCCCTCGCGCTGGATTCGACCCTTCTTGGGAAAGTGGGAGCTCCCCCAGCAAATCCCTTCGGCTTTAGTTGAGGGGGAGGGGGGGGGCCCAGGGCCCAGGGTTTAGGGGTTTAGGGTTTAGGGGGGCTGTAAACCCTAACCCATAAACCTTGAAACCCAAGCCTGAAACCCTAGCCCGCTACACCCAGTGCTTCAGATCACGAAGCCCAAAACCACCAGGCCCAAAAAAAAACACCCAAACTCCCTAATACACCCCCCCCAACCATCCCATAACCCTAGGCCCGAAACCCTAAATCCTGGATCCTAAGCCCTAAGCCCCCATGTGTAAGGAGAGGGCCAGCCAATGGGAGTCGGCTTTGCTGGTCTTCAAGTGGATGCTCTTCCGCAAGCCCCAAAAGCTAAGGATCCACGTGACATGTACCTGAATTTAGGTTTAGGGTTTAGGGTTTAGGGCCGTTTAGGGTTTATACTTGAGCCCCGAAGGCACAGTATAGCAAGTACTTTACAGGCCCAAGCATATCCTACTTAGGTATATGGCCCCCTATAGGGAACCTCCTGACACCCTACGCCCTGAATCAGAACCCTAAACCCCGAATTCTAAGCCCTAAATCTAAGCCCTACACCCCAAACCCCAAACCCCAAGCCCGAAACCCTATACTCATTCAGCAGGTGCGATGCGATGTTATCACTTTCAGTTCTCTCCTTAGCATACCCTATTGGGGTACATGGCTCCTTACGGAATCCCCTAAAAGTCTAAGCCCTGAACCCTTGATCCCGAACCCTAAACCCTAAACCCTAAACCCTAAACCCTAAACCCTGAGCCTTCAACCCAGGATGTCCGAGTCGGGCGTGCAACCCAACGTCGCCGCTCGCACGCACTTGTGTTGCGGCTTCATGGGAGGCCTATAGAGTACCCCCTTTTATTTCTGGGATGCCCAGTACGACCCTTTTCTCCCTTTTTTTGGGGGGTGTAGCTTCCCTTATAAACCCCTTTAAGCAACAAAGGGGTACCCTTTTTAAGCCTAGGTTACTGGGCAGCCTAGATTTGAAATTTCTGAGTATTTTGTCTAGATAGGATCTTCCTCTCTCTCTCTCTCAATGTCTCTGTGTTTTGTTTTGTGGCTTCTGTGCTTCTGTTTTGTTGCAGGGCGTAAGGCTTTGGTTTAGGACCGGCTTCTGGGTGGAGAAAGCGGTTTTGGGCTTGGGGTTTAGAAGTTCAGGTCCGGGAAAGTTGAGGGCTTAAGGTTCAGTTTTTGGGGTTTAGGTCTTCAAGGTTTAGGGGACGAAGAATTGAATGGGACGCCAACCTTATAGCAGAATGTACCAGCCTTTTTACGAGGGGGGAAGCTTCGGCTTGTAGGTTTAGGGCTTTAGGGCTTTAGGGCTTTAGGGCTTTAGGGCAGCTTTAGGGCTTTAGGGCTTTAGGGCTTTAGGGCTTTTAGGGGCTTTTGGGCTTTAGGGACTTTAGGGCTTTAGGGGCTGTAGGGCTTTAGGGTCTTAGGGCTTTAGGGGCTTTAGGGCTTTAGGGCTTTAGGGCTTTTAGGGGCTTTAGGGACTTTAGGGCTTTAGGGGCTGTAGGGCTTTAGGGTCTTAGGGCTTTAGGGGCTTTAGGGCTTTAGGGCTTTAGGGCTTTAGGGGCTTTAGGGCTTTAGGGCTTTAGGGCTTTAGGGCTTTAGGGCTTTAGGGCTTTAGGGGCTTTAGGGCTTTAGGGCTTTAGGGCTTTAGGGGCGTTAGGGGCGTTAGGGCTCTAGGGCTTTAGGGCTTTAGGGCTTTAGGGTTTGGGGTTTAGGGTTTAGGGTATAGGGTGAAGGCCTTATTCTCTTTCAGATCGCGAGGTGACGTACAGCGCAGCCATCGCTGCGCTGGAGAAGTCTGGTCACTGGACTGCCGCTCTGGAGTTCATGGCATCTCGGATCCTAAACCCTAAACCCTAAACCCTAAACCCTAAACCCTAAACCCTAAACCCTAAACCCTAAACCCTAAACCCTAAACCCTAAAACTGACTCTGCCGCCGTAGGTTCGAGGGCAGCCCCTTAGGGACTTAGGGGTCCATGCGCCTAAAAGGGGTTTAGGGTTTAGGGTTTAAGGTTTAGGGTTTAGGGTTTAGGGTCCATGTACCGAAATAGGGAATACTTGGGCCTCAGAGTATATGTTTTTTAGGGACTTTGGCGCTCGAGTATATATAATACTGCGGTACATGGATCCTTAGGGCAGGCTCGTGGAGCACTCTTGATGACCCCAGCGCCAAGCAGACAGAAACCCTAAACCCTAAACCCTAAACGCTAAACCCCAAACCTCACTCGAAACGCGCCAATCTATGTTGAAGCCCCCGCGCCCACCATGTTGCAAAACGCGCTAAGGCCGAGATGAGGACAGACTGGGTTGAGAGTTTAGGGTCTAAAGGCTTAGGGTTTAGGCTTTGGGCCCTGGGAGATCCTAAACCCTAAACCCCCAAAATGCCTTTGGAGGCATCCTTTATTTCAGGTAAATGTTCCCTCGAGTTGGCCGGGCTTGTGCGTAGGTCTGTGAGAACTACCGACGCTACATGGAACATGCGAATTCAAGGGTCCATGTACTAAAGTAGGGAATGCTCGGGCCTTAGAGTACTTGCTATTCCGGGATCCGGGTGCCGAAGTAGATCAGAGAACCCTAAACCCTAAACCCTAAACCCTAAACCCTAAACCCTAAACCCTAAACCCTAAACCCTAAACCCTAAACCCTAAACCCTAAACCCTAAACCCTAAACCCTAAACCCTAAACCCTAAACCCTAAACCCTAAACCCTAACCCATAAACCCTAAACCCTAAACCCTAAACCCTAAACCCTAAACCCTAAACCCTAAACCCTATAAAGATCACCAAAATCAACTCCTGGAGCCCCCCCCCCCCCCCCCGCCCCCGGGTAGTCCCCAGTCTCGTGGAGCACCGTGCCATGACATGGGTTTAGGGTTTGGGGTTTGGGGGTTTTAGGGTTAGGGTTTAGGGTTTTAGGGTTTAGGGTTAGGGTTTGAGCACCATAGCCAGACGTCGCTAGCAACTGATCCTAAACCGTAAACCGTAGGGGGTTCATTGGGGGGGGGGGGGGTGTCAGGGAACCTTGAGTTGCATACCCCCTTGAATTTTGGGGTTTAGGGTTTAGGGTTTAGGGTTTAGGGTTTAGGGTTTGAACCCGAGAACAGCACCTGGGGAGGAGCACCCGAATTGAGCCCAACACCATCACCTACAACTCCTCCATGAGCGCCTGCGAGAAAGCAGGCGGGCTTGTGCCGGGCTCTGTTTTTTCCCCTACTATTTGCTTAAGAAGCCCAAAAGAAAAACAAAAAAAACCTATATTACCCTTTCTTAAGTGCTTAAGAACCCCCAAAAGAAAAATAAAAAATCCCCTATAGTACCCTTTCTTAAGCAATTAGTAGTTGCCCACGACATCGGGCAGGTGAGTCCTACCTTGGCCGGGAGTGCAGGAAGTAGCTTGGTAGCCCAGTGGTACCCTTTACCCTTTTTTTTGGGGTATGGGTTCCCTTAGAAAATAGCCAACCAAAAAAAGGGTGCCCTTATTTTAATATGGTTACTGGGCTACCAAGACAGGGATGCCTTCAAAGGTTAGGGAAAGATGAGGGCAATGCCCAGGCTACCCACAGTCCCTGTGCTAGAGACCCGCTTTTTTAGCCCGAAGAACGCTAACAAGGCCTGATGGATAGGCTTGGAGTGTGGAGTTGGACTGTTTCGGTTTAGGATTTGGGTTTAGGGTTTAGGGTTTAGGGTTTAGGGTTTAGGGTTTAGGGTTTAGGGTTTAGGGTTTAGGGTTTAGGGTTTAGGGTTTAGGGTTTAGGGTTTGGGGTTCAAATCTGCAGTTGGGGGGGGGGGGGTGTTGACCCTACTTGAAGGTTCACGGCACCCATTGGCTAACCAACCTCCAAGTACTTGGGCTCAGGGTCTAAACCTTTCCAACCCTGAAATCACGAGGTGGCTATACGTAGTGCTCCACTGTGAGCACCGTCCCAATGAAGCAGCTGCGATAGACTCGCCTTCTGCACACCCTAACTGTTCAAGGTTTGAGGTGTAGGGCTCAAGTGTCTGCAGCTAGGGTTTAGGGTTTGGGTTTTTAGGTTTTAGGGCTTAGGGGTTTTAGGATTTTAGGGTCTCAGGGTCTTAGAGTTGTAGGGTTTCGGGAAGCCCGTCCTAAAGCTTACATGCCTTCCACCCAGGGTCCTAAAAAACTAAGTCTCTTCAACTTCGACCTGAAAGGCGAGTGGCAGCAGGCTTTGTCGCTTCTGTCCTCACTGCAAGACCCTTGACTCTCAGAGTGGGCGGTTTTGGGTTTAGGGGCTCTAGGACACAGAGAGTGGGCCCCTTTTTGTTGTTTTCCTTTGTTTAGGGTCTTAGGTCCCCCCCCCCCCCCCCCCCCCCCCCCCCCCCCAAAAAAAAAAAAAAAAAATCGGGAAATGGGTAGTTCATTGGGGTCTTGGGTGGTATCCCCTTACGTTCGGGAAAGGCTCATGTCAGCACAGGACTCGGCCTGACTGGGGGTCGTGGAACCAATCCCAAAGCGCCTGAACCCTAAGCCCTAAACCCTAAACCCTAAACCCTAAACCCTAAGCTCTAACTTAGGGTGTTCCTTGCGGTGCAGCTGTGCAACTTTTTTGTAGCAGCTGTTAGTACAAAGGAGCCGGACCCGAATCTCCTCAAACTCTTGAAACGCTCAACCCTCTAGGGTTTAGGGTTTAGGGTTTAGGGTTTAGGGTTTAGGGTTTAGGGTTTAGGGTTTAGGGAACGGTCAGCCCCATGAACCCTTACCCCTGTGTATCCCTAAGGGTCCATGTACCTAATTATGGAATACTTGGGCCTTAAAGTACTTCCTATATAAGGACTTTTGGGTCTAAGTATATAATAATGAGGTACATGGACCCTTAGGGTATCTCAAAAGCCCTCTACCGTACTTGGAGGTTCATGGTACATATAAGCCAGTTACATCTGCACTTAGAGCTGTGCTTATAACCATGTTAGGGCGCTTAAGGGGCTTCTAAGTGGCTATAAGCACAGTTCTATTTGGTTAGTAAGTGCCATGAACCTCCAAGTAAGCAGCTCAAGCGTTCAAACCCTAAACCCTAAACCCTAAACCCTAAGCGTTCGTGAGGAGGATCATCTTGAAGCTCAAGTCATCTCCTTCAGCGCTGCCGTGAGTGCATGCGAGAGTCTTTTCTCAATGGACGAGAGCCCGGTCTGGCCTTTGAACTATTCGCTTAAGAACCCCAAAAGAATACTATTCGTTAAGAACCCCAAAAGAATACTATTCGATTAAGAACCCCAAAAGAATACTATTCGCTTCAGAACCCCAAAAGAATAAGCAATAATAATCCGTATATTCCCCTTAATAAGGAAGAATACTTGTTTTTTTTTCCTTTCGTGGTTTTTATCCCAAGGGGCTTCTCCTGGGGTTCTGCGGTATGGGGTTGTGGCGTTATGGGGGTTAGGATCAATGACCCAAGGCTTCATCTAGCTCTTTGAAGTACGGTCTCTTGTGGTGGAACCCGAAACCCTAAACCAGACCATGCAGAGCATTTTGATTGTGGGGGGCTTGTGAGCGGGGGGCTTGTGGGGGGCTTGCGGGGGGGGGGCTTGTGGGGGCCAAACCCCGTGCCGGGTACTATAGGTACTGATTGATTGAAATTCCCAGTTCGTTTCCAGCAAGGGGCGGGTTCAGCGAGAATTTGCATCCGGCGACTGTTGAGCTCGCTGGCCCTGAGCTAGTTAGGGTGTAGGGTTTAGGGTTTAGGGTTTCGGGTTTAGGGTTTAGGGCTGTTAGGGCTTTTAGGGCTGAGGGCTGAGGGCTCAGGGCACAACAGACCCAAAGGAAATCATCGTCTAGAGACCTGCCCAGGTGCATCGTGGCTCTGTTGCGTTCGGCGGGCCGGAGTTAAGATCATCAGTTCGGGATGTTCCCCCTTATACTAACTAACAGTCCTTAGTAGGATTATAGTACCCCCCCCCCCCCCTCCTCCCCTATTACAATCCCTAGTATAAGGGGGGGACATGCCAAGTCATCAGGGTTCAGGGTTTCGGGCTTTAGCGGCGGTGAGGAAAGCACTGTCCCTGGGCCCTTCCGCGAACACCTGCCAACGATCCAACCTGCACCTAAACCCTCGACCCTAAACTCTACACCCTAAACCCTAAACCCTAGGACCCTAAACCCGAAACCCTAAACCCTAAACCTAAAACCCTAAACCTAAAACCCTAAACCCTAAAAACCCGAAACCTTAAACCCTTCCTTCAGGAAAGGTGCCCAATGGCAGCGGGCCCTGTACTTGCTGGCGTCAATGCCGGAGCAGAGCTTGACCTTCGTCAAGGATTTTTTGGCCGGCAATCGGCTTCAATCGGGTTGAGGTTCCTGACAGGGTTTAGGGTTTAGGGCTTAGGGCTTAGGGCTTAGGGCTTAGGGCTTAGGGCTTAGGGCTTAGGGCCCTAAACCCTAAACCCTAAACCCTAAACCCTAAACCCTAAACCCTAAACCCTAAACCCTAAGGTTTTGGGCTTTAGGGAAGCATCTGTGGCAGGGTTCGGGGGTTTGCCACCCCTTTGAGTGGGAGATTTGGGGATCCCCATTTACCTCATGAGCATGGCTGCCGATGTGGGGGCTTTCTGTAAGATTTTGGTGTTTAGGCTTTAGGGTTTAGGGTTTAGGGTTTGGGGTTTAGGGTTTAGGGTTCAGGGATTAAGGTTTAGGGTTTCGGGTTTGGGGTTTAGGGTTTAGCGTTTGGGGCGCAAACTCAGACACTGACCCCTCTTGACCACCTAACTTAACTACCACCCCTGGCCCTGCCTGCATGGTCACTTCTCGAACATGAGGTTCCCTTCTCGGGTCCTTATTATAAGGGGGCCTCTTATTTCAGGGTACCCAAAAAGGTACCGTACGTTAGAGAACTGACCACATAGGGCTGGTTCTCTGAGTCTTGTGTTGTGTTGCGGGCCGAAGGGGGGGAGGCCAAGGTTGGGTAGTATAGAATCTCGTAAGAGTAGTTGGGGTTCTGCAAACATGGTCCACTCTGAAACGGAACAAGACCTTGACAAACCCAGAAACACACGACCCTAGACCACTAAAACGCTAAACCACTAATTAAACCACTCAGCCCCCTAAACACCGAAACCCCTGAAACCCTCGAAGCACCCTAAACCCTAAACCCTAAACCGTACCCTAAACCCTAAACCCTAAACCGCCTAAACCCCAAACCCCAAACCCTAAACCCCAAACCCCAAACCCTAAACCCTTGCCAGCGGCCCAACTGCACACCAAAGCCAAGGCGCCAGGATGTTATCTGCTTCAATGCCGGAATAAGCGCCTGCGAGCCTTGTTTTGCGCCAGGTGTTGGGTTGTGTTGGGTTGAGGGCATAGGGTTGGGGGTTTGGGGTTTAGGGTTTAGGGTTTCGGGTTTGGGGTTGAGGGTTGTGTCCTAGTCCTTCAACACAAAGCAGGTGTCTCTACGTGAGGTCGAGAGGCAGGTAGGGAACCTTGCGCCCACAAGCTTAGGGATGTATTGGGAATAGGGTTTAGGGTTTAGGGTTGAGGGTTTTTTTAATTGGCTACCATCATTCCTAAGAATCAGCTAAAATTTGGTCCTTCGCACCCCAGCGCTGCGTCCAAGCTAGCTATCTTGAGGTTCAGGGCTTTAGGGCTTGAGCGCTGAGCCAAGCCCCAAAATCCTCATTCTGGGCGCTTGTGCGTGAACCTGAAAGTTATCGTCATGCCGTCCCTCCATAAACCTGAAACCCGAAAAATAGGCCTTAAACCCTAAAAACAATATCCCTGAGCCCGAAAACCCTAAATAAGGGTGCGGGTTTAGACCCCAAGGCAGGGTGTAGGGTTTAGGGTTTAGGGTGTAGGGTTTAGGGTTAGGGTTTAGGGTTTAGGGTTTAGGGTTCAGGGTGTAGGGTGTAGGGTAGTTGGCGCGGTTCTGCAGGAGAAGTGCGGGCAGTGGCAGCAAGCCATCCTGCTACTGCGATCCTTGCATGGCGCGGCAATACTCCCCACAGGCCGTTTCGGTCTCTGAGCCCAAAGCCCTAAATTCCTAAACCCTAAACCCTAAACCCTAAACCCTAAACCCTAAACCCTAAACCCTAAACCCTAAACCTGTCTGGTAGCTAGCCCGGTGGCTCCTTGTTCATTCTTAGTGTGGCGGAAGGCTCGGGTGGAGTCCAGCCAATCCTACATAAGAGGGTTAGGGTTTAGGGTTCAGGGTTTAGGGTTTAGATCTAGGGTTCAGGGTTTAGAGTTCAGGGTTTAGGCTTTGGGTTTAATGGGACAGGGAGGGGGCCCCTAGCTACCAGTGGAGTTTTTGGTGCCCTGACCAGAAGGGGCCCGCCTTCCTGACTCAGCAAGCCTCCGAACTTCAAAGACTCAACAGCCCACATACCAAAGTTACCCTTGGGGTGTAAACCCTAAACCCTAAACCCTAAACCCTAAACCCTAAACCCTAAACCCTAAACCGGGTTGAGGGTTTAGGGATTGATCTGTTTGGGGTTAGCCCCTTGGTCATGTTGCATTGCAGTCAACAGCTTCAACGCAGCCGTCGGTGCCTGTGCCCGTGCCGACGAGTGGCAGCATCTCGCTCAGGTTTAGGGTTTAGGGTTTGGGGTTTAGGGTTTAGGGTTTAGGGTTTGGGGTTTGGGGTTTAGGGTTTAGGGTTTAGGGTTTGGGTTTTAGGGATTAGGGTTCAGGTTTTCAGGTTTAGGGTTTAGCGCAGTTTAGGGTTATCCAGTCAGGAAGGAGCGTTGGGTATAGTACCCGGAAGTGTGTAAGCTTCACTCGGAACCGGATCCCAGTCGTGTATACGTTTGGGGTTTGGGATTTTGGGTTGACAAACTTTGTGGATATGGACAACGCATGCGGCTTTTGACTCGAAATCCACAGCACATGTCCGGTCACAGGGCTTGTGAGCCCCGAGCCCGAATCTGAATCTGGTTCCACGTAGCACATGAAGACATACAGATATGTTTACGCGGACGGTGCGGGAGAGGAGTTGACACGAATATGAGTTGAATTGAATATAGGGTGCGGAGGTCGGTTCTTCTATGCCTGGGTCTTGCCTGAGTACGGCTTAGGCGTGTTTGGAAGGTTTCGCAGGTTTCGGGGGCTCATTTTGTCGTATCTGATCCCAAGCACGATCTGGCAGTCTAGGCACGCGCTGGCGCTTCTCGCGGAGATCGAAGAGCCTTGCTGAGACTTCAGAGTGGAGAGCGCCCAAACCCTAAACCCTAAACCCTAAACTCCTCAACCCCTGACGAGCACACATGCAATCTGCATCCCTGCCACCGCCCCCCCGCCTCTCCTCCCCTCGCCTCCCGCCCTCCTCTCCTCCTGCTCCTCCTCTCTTCCTTCCCCCCAAACCCACAGTTGCCCTTCATTGCCCTCAAATTGGGGTTTAGGGGTTTTGAGGTTTGAGATTCAAGCTTTGGGGTGCCCAACGTGGGTTTAGGGATTAAAGGGGTTTAGGGTTTAGGATTTAGGGTTTAGGGTTTAGGGTTTAGGGCTATCCCTAAACCCTAAACCCATGAAAGTTTCCCAAGGAGTCCAGAAAGCGCCCGACTGCCTACAGCTACGGCTCGGCCATCGCAAGCTGCGTGGGAACCCTGGGCTTGGTTGAGGGTTTAGGGTTTAGGGTTTAGGGTTTAGGGTTTAGGGTTTCAAGTTTCAACCCTAAACCCTAAACACCCTGAGCTCCTGTCCTAAACGAGCTGAAACTCACATCCTCGAGCCCCTGAATGCTCCCCCCCAGCCGCAACATGCAGGGTTTGGGGGTCTCGCGCATGCATACAGCTGAATAGATCCCACTCCCTGCAATAAAAAACACGAAGTCTACAAATGTAGTACTGTATTACATATATTCGTATAATACCATAATCACATGGGTGGTTGTAAACCCTAAACCCTAAACCCTGAACGCACCCTAAATATTAGGTGCCGTATAATACGAGGGATCCAAAAAGGGACCATGATTTTGACAACCACCCTTATAACAAATATTGTCCGAGATGCCAAGGAGGGCGCTGGACCCTGGCTAGTAGAGGGCTCAACCCCAAACCCTAAACCCTAAACCCTAGTAGGGAAACCCATAAAAAGGAGGGCGCTGGACCGTGGCTCTGTCGCTCCTACGCCAAGCAGCGGCCGCCGCAGCTGTGGACGCCGTGGCCGTGGCGGCCGCGCAGGGCGGCTGCGCAGCACTGAAAGGGGTGTAGGGTTTAGGGTTTAGGGTTTAGGGTTCAGGGTTTAGGGTTTAGGGTTTAAGGGGTTTACGAAAAATTCGGGACCCCAATCTAGACCCCCAAATGGTAGAATCCCCTTATGAAAAGGACCCCGATAAGGTACCGCTAATATCTCGAACCCCTTAAAATTTCGCGGTTGATTGGCAAATAGCTCCCAAAGTTGTCATCTGTTTGATACCGCACAGCTGCATAACCCAAAGAAAGCTGGTCATGTCAAGGTCCCATAATTCTACTCCCAGCACGGTATCTATCCTCAGCAAGTCGATTTCAACCGAAAGCCCTAAAGCCCTAAACTCCTAAATGCTAAACGTTATTCTCTGGACGCTAAAAAGTTCAACAACCCCAAAATACCCATCAGCCCTGAAGGCCAAGAGCCCCTACCCAACCAAAAGTCCTTAAACAAAATACCACAACACCGCAAGCCTAAACCCTAAACCCTCTTTTCAGTATAGTAGTTAAACCATATAGGCTTCGTGGGCAATGGCCATTTTTCGTGGGCAATGGTCATTCTTCGTGGGCAATGGTCAGTTTTCTCGGGCAATAGCCCTAAGCCCTAAGCCCTAAGCCCTAAACCTTAAACCCTAAACCCTAAACCTTAAACCCTAAACCCTAAGCCCTAAGCCCTAAACCATTCGCATTGAACTGTCAGGCGCGCTCGTGGCTGCCGGCCGCTGGCGGATGGCTCTTGAGCTGCTGGTGCGCGACGGGGGAGCTTAGTGGGTTTAGGGTTTAGGGTTTAGGGTTTAGGCTTTAGGCTTTAGGGTTTAGGGGTCGGAATAGTTACTAATAATATTCCCTTTATGGTCCCTCTGTAATTATACTATAACAACCCCCAAAACCCCATTCTAACTATTAAGGCCCCTATAGTAGGTTTAGGCGGCCCCCGAAAGCCCGGAAAGCCCTAAGCCCTAAACCCTAAACCCTAAACCCTAAGCCCTAAACCCGGGTTTCGGGGGTGTCGCCTTCAACTCTCACACCCCCATATCTGTAGCCAGCACTCCCAAACGACATTCAGAGGAGCGCATGAGCCTCCACCCTAAACCCTAAACCCTACACCCTAAACCCTAAACCCCAAACCCCAAACCCTAAACCCTAAACCCTAAACCCCTGCGAATGCTTCTATGCAGGCCTATCAGGCCAGAAACCCTAAACCTCAAACCCTTCAATCAAGAGAAAACCCTAGAGCCGTGTGCTCGGAGCCCTCAGACCCTAAAACCTAAACCCTAACCCCTAAAACCTAAGCCCTAAACCCTAAACCCTAAACCTGGGTTTAGGGTTTACGGTTTAGGGGGCTCAAGCTTTAAGCCTCTACCGTTTTAAGGTTTACCCTAAGGGTCCATGTACCTAATTATGGAATACTTGGGCCTTAAAGTACTTCCTATATAAGGACTTTTGGGTCTAAGTATATAATAATAAGGTACATGGACCCTTAGGGTTAGAGTTTATAGAGTTTCGGGCAACCCTGGCACCCTGAAGGCTGAGCTTCCTGCGCTGTCGCTTTCTCCCACGGTCTCGAACTTCAACGTGGCGATAAGCGCAAGCCGCTTGGGCAAAAACGCTAAAGCCCTGAACCCTAATCCCTCAACCCTAAACCTAAATCCTATACTCCATACCCTAAACCTCATACCCTAAACCCTACACCCTAAGCCCTAAACCCTAAGCCCTACACCCTAAACCGCAAACCCTAAACCCCAAACCCTAACCCTAAACCCTAAACCCTAAACCCTAAACCCTAGGGGGCAAGGGTTCGCTACCACCTGTAATTATAGCTATCTGCGTGGTTAGATATTACTAAGCCGCCCTGGCCCCCCGGGTTTAGGTTTTTGGGTTTAGTGTTTAGGGTTTAGGGTTTAGGGTAACCCTCAACAAAAAACATACTCTAGGCTTGGTAGCTAAGTACGTAGGGGTATCTATCATCCTACCCATAATTGAGAGGTTAACCTTTTTTGGCCCAGGGGTGGGAATAGTTACTTATGGCATTCATGTTTTGGAAATGTTAAGGTGCCTGCATGTGGCAGACAAACACACGCCAAAACCACTCATGTCAGGCGAGAAAGCGGATCTGTGGCAGCTTTCCGTATCGCTGCTTGCTGCGATGGCCTCGTGGCGACTGCCTTGCTCCCTCGAGGAGCGAGAGCTCTGTCTAGGATTCGGGGCTTAGCGTTTAGGGTTAGGGTTTAGGGCTCAGGGTTTGGGCTGTAGGGTTTAGGTTTTTTATTAAGAGTCCTAGAGAAGCAAGAATACTAGGGCTCCACACATACATGCTCCAAGAGCTCATTCGGTTGCTCTACTACCCCTCCCTAAACCCCGAAATCCTGATGACCTCAAATCTCAACTAGACAACTGCAGAACTCGAAGTCCTAGTGCGCTCAAAGTCCAGAGACCCAAACCCCGCAAAACCGCTAAACCCTGAACCCTAAAGCCTAAACCCTGAACCCAAAACCCTAAACCCAAAACCCAAAACCCCAAACCCTAAACCCTAAACCCTAAACCCAAACCCTAAACTCCCTGAGAAAGACCTGGGCAGGGCTGCAATGCAGCCATCTCAAGCTGCGAGCGCGATGGCCAGTGGGCGCCTGGGCGGTTTGGGGTCTAGGGTTTAGGGTTTAGGGTTTGGGGTTTAGGGTTTGGGGTTTAGGGTTTAGGATATAGGGTTCGGGGTGTAGAGTTTAGGATTTAGGGTTTAGGTTTAGGGTGTAGGGAACAGCATTTAGGTTTAGGGTTTGGAGATTAGGGTACATAGGCCCTTTCTGAGAAAGGTAGAGAGGGCTGAGGGCTTGGGTTTATGAGGTGTGGGGTTTAGGCTTCTAGGGTTTGGGTTTTGTTTTGGGGTTTGGGGTTAGGCTTTCTCCGCTTCAGGGCTCTTCATGGCCTTGTGTACACCATAACCCCGGACCCGACGCGAAGAACATTTCGGGTTGTGAGAAGGGGAACCCTATATACCCACACCCTAAACCCGACACATTAAACCCCGAACCCTAAACCCTAAACCCTAAACCCTAAACCCTAAACCCTACACCCTAACCGTGAAAAGCCTAAACCCTAAACCACACTAAGGGACTCAAGGAGAAGTAAAGGAGGGATGTGGGGGGATGTTCCTCCTTATTCTCACAGTCCTTAATAGGGATTGTAGTATCCCCGTATTATGATCCCTATGGAGGACTGCTACTATAAGGGGACACATCCTAAACCCTAAACCCTAAACCCTAAACCCTAAACCCTAAACCCTAAACCCTAAACCCGAACCCCTATTACAATCCCCATGAAGGACTGTTCGTATAAGGACGAACATCCCAAGAGGGATGCTTTAAACCTTTATATCCCCCCTCGAACTCGAGGGGCGCCTGCCTTTGCACCGGAACCCCTAAACCCAACAGGGTTTAGGGTTTAGGGTTTAAGGTTTAGGGTTTAGGGCTTAGGGAAGCCTCAACCCTGAGCCCTCAAGCCCGACAACCCTAAATCCCTAGAACCCTAAAACCCTGAGACCCCGTAAAACTAGAACCCTACAAACCCTACAAACCCTATAAACCCGGTAAACCCTATAAACCCTATGAACCCTGTAAACCCTATAAACCCAATGAACCCTATGAACTTCATGAACCCTATAAACCCCATGAACCGTATAAACCCTATAAACCCTTTGAACCCTGTAAACCCTATAAACCCTATGAACCCCATAAACCCTATAAACCCTGTGAACCCCATAAACCCTATGAACCCTATAAACCCTATAAACCCTATGAACCCTGTAAACCCTATGAACCCTGCACCCCGCGATCCCACAGATCCCCAGGAGGTCGCATCCTTCCTCCTAGCGGGGCTTCCACAACGGAAGTTGCTTCCCGACGTGCTCCTCGGTTTAGGGCTCAGGGTTTAGGGTTCAGGAACTTCACAGCTTATAAGTCCCTGAACTGCCGATAGTAGGAACAGGGCCCACTGCAGGATGGAGGCTTGGGATTGTTGGTCTCTTTTAACCCTGAACCCTGAACTCGAAACGCTTCACAAACATTTCAAATGCCATGTGTAAGCAAGCCCAAATCTTGCATAGTCTTAATTCATACACAAAAATTCACATTTGAACAAAAGAATACATTAGGCCACCTGACACTGATACTGACCCCCAAACCCCAAACCCCAAACCCCAAACCCTCAACCCTAAACCCCAAACGGAATTCATCGGCCCTTTCGTCCGCAGCGACGCGGTCGCCGGCCCGATGGCCAGAGAGCGCCAGTTGAGTCGAAGGACGGTTTGAGTTTTAGAGGTAGGGTTTAGGGTTTAGGGTTTAGGGTTTAGGGTTTAGGGTTTAGGGTTTAGGGTTTAGGGTTTAGGGTGCAGGACTCAGGTTTTTCCAGCTTAACAGCTGTTCAGATTTTAGGGTTTAGGGTTTTGGGTTCAGGGCTTAGGCGTTTTCTAGTTTAGATTTCACAGTCGGCAACTTGCTCGCCAAGGATCAGCTACACCTCCATGCTCACCGTGCCACGGCTCATTGTGCTTGGCTTCGGTTTTAGGGGTTTGGGGTTTAGGGGTTTAGGGGTTTAGGGTTTAGGGTTTAGGGTTTAAGGTTTAGGGTTTAGGGTTTAGGGTTTAGGGTTTAGGGTTTACTGTTTAGGGTTTACACTCTGCTGAAAAAACATGGAACTGGAAACAAAAAATGTGTAAGACCAACATGGAACCTACCAAGTCCAAACATTCACTTCTGACAATTAACATGGAACTAAAGACCTCAGTTCACATTACATCCTGAACTCCAAACTGCAAAATATATTCGACAAACAAGTCTAACATGGAATCTGAAAATAGATTCCTCAACCAAGCAAATAAGTTCCACGTTAAGGCTCCCAAAAATTCCTGGGTTTGACTTGTTGACTCTTCGAACCCGCCGAAAACCGACTAACATAGAACTTCTGCCAAAATCAACTTGCTCCCGAACCCTCCCCAATTCAATATTAACATGGAACCTGCCTCAAATTCGCAATGCGGTTCGGTCTGGGGTGCAACCTGAGACAGCTTCTGAGGGAGTGGTCTAACATAGAACCCACAATGCATAAACTCTTTCCAGCCGTGCGCGTGCTGGACTTGAGTGAAGGCATCAACTTTCCGGAAGTGCACACGTATGAGTGTGGACTGCTTGCTGCAAAACAGCTGAACTTAAGAAATCAAAATTCTGCGCTACAGCTTCCACGTTCGCAGTGTATTTGATGCATCCGCATGCCCCTGCACACAGCGCTGTGTGCTGTGACACTCTACAGCAGTGCCAGCTGCACAGCATTGCGAGCTGCACAGTCCTTAGAAGGCCAGTTCATCCAGCCTTTGGCGTAAGTGAGTCACGTGTTCTCCGGCTGTCACAGCTTCAATCTCCATGTCGCAATAGGAATCCCAGAGAGCCTGATTCAGCACTTGTCCGACCAAGATGCAGTAACCACGGGATTCGATGCGAAACGCACTCAGCTCTTACAAAATTGCGACTGTGGAGCCAAGCAACTACCAAAACAAGAAGCTATGCCTTCCGCTCCGAGCGCAGTGTGGATCAAGATCGTGGGCATTACTTTGAACGGAAAGCATAGCTTCTTGTTTTGGTAGTTGCTTGGCTCCACAGTCGCAGCTTTGTAACGCACCGAAACTCGTGGTTGCTTGATCTTGGTCAGACAAGTGCTGAATCAGGCTCTCTGGGATTCCCATTGCGACATGGAGATTGAAGCTGTGACAGCCAGAGAACACGTGACTCACTTGCGCCAAAGGCTGGATGAACTGGCCTTCTAAGGACTGTGCAGCTCGCAATGCTGTGCAGCTGGCACTGCTGTAGAGTGTCACAGCACACAGCGCTGTGTGCAGGGGCATGCGGATGCATCAAATACACTGCGAACGTGGAAGCTGTAGCGCAGAATTTTGATTTTTTAAGTTCAGCTGTTTTGCAGCAAGCAGTCCCCACTCATACGTGTGCACTTCCGGAAAGTTGATGCCTTCACTCAAGTCCAGCACGCGCACGGCTGGAAAGAGTTTATGCATTGTGGGTTCTATGTTAGACCACTCCCTCAGAAGCTGTCTCAGGTTGCACCCCAGACCGAACCGCATTGCGAATTTGAGGCAGGTTCCATGTTAATATTGAATTGGGGAGGGTTTGGGAGCAAGTTGATTTTGGCAGAAGTTCTATGTTAGCTTGATTTCGGCGGGCTTCGAAGAGTCAACAAGCCAAACCCAGGAATGTTTTAGAGCCTTAACGTGGAACTTCATTTCTATTTGCAGCTTCCTTGTTAGTCTTGCTTGTCGCACACATTCTGCAATTTTAAGCTGAGGATGTAATATGAACTGAATTCGTTGGTTCCACATTAGTGGTCCCCGGTGTATGTACGGCCTTGGAAGGTTCCATGTTAGTACACAGAACTTGCTTCGGGCCCTCCCAGGGGCAGGCTGACTAACATGGAACACGCTTGAAGGTTGGGCCCTCCCAGGGGCAGGCTGACTAACATGGAACACGCTTGATATACTCAGGACACGTCCAGGGCTCTTTGGAAAGCCCTAACATGGCACCATTCCCTGTGAATGTCAGGTTCTATGTTCCCTTTGCCATTTCGGCTTGCCCCAGCAAGCCGAGAAGCTGGAAGCCTGCACGCGGAAAACAAACATAGCACTTGCCTGAAACGACCCTCTACTGGATTCCAAGTTTGTTTAGCAGAGAGTAGGGTTTAGGGTTTAGGGAGCTTGTGCACGGCACCAAGACCCAAGCTTCCCTTGGGGACCAAATGAACCTTAAGAGGGGTCCTGGTTAATAATATACCTTCAATGGAGACTATAGTAGTACAGGGTATATGGATGAAACTTAAGAGGGGTTAGAGTTCATATACCTTAATTGAAACTGGTTAGGGTTACCTTATGAGGGTCCGTAAAATATATGGGAGTCCTGCTACTTAGGGGTCAAATTTAGGGGTCCCCTATTGTCGTAAACCCCCATAGTAGTCTAGGATAACCCTAAACCCTAAACCCTAAACCCTAAAGAAACTATAGTAGTATAGGGTAATATGGCCCCATTTTGGTCCCCGAGGTCCTAGGGAAGCTCCAGCCCGAAATAAACAGCTATCGCGTGCCCATTCGGGTTTTGGGGTTTAGGGTTTAGGGTTTAGGGTTTAGGGGGGCAACGCTCTTCCCCAGTGGCAGATACAGACTCGTAGACCTTCCCGAAGAGCTTAATTCTAGGACGATAGTTGACATCATGACAAGAATCCCTATATGGCTTAGGGAATACACCTTAAACCGTTGCCAGACCCAAACCCTAAACCCTAATTCAACCCTAAATCCTAAACCCAAAGCCCCAAACCCTAAATCCTAAACCCTAAACCCTAAACCCTAAACCCTCACAGCGGACTTGCCCCCTTGTCTCAACCAGGTCTGCGCTGCGGCGGGGCGGTGGCGTGAAGCGGTGCAATTCTGGCAGTCGATGCAGGCGTTAGGGTTTAGGGTTTCGGGTTTAGGGTTTAGGGCTTAGGATTAGTGTTTTGGGTTTAGGGTCGAAATCCTTGTCTTTCATCAGATGGGTTGAGGGTCCTGCTCTGAGCCCCACCACGCAAAGTAGGCACACAAAAAAGTATGACTCTGTACACGTATATTTTCTGTATACCTTCTTGTATATAGGGGCGGTTGAACTGCACACTTCGGGGCCTATATAAGGGCTTCTGCCCCTGATGACGTTCTCCTGGGTTCACAGACCCCTAAAGAGGAAAAACAAAAAAACACTTAAACCCTTAACCCTTAACCCTAAACCCTAAACCCTAAACCCTAAACCCTAAACCCTAAACCCTAAACCCTAAACCCTAACCCCAACACGCACACGGGAGGTTCAGCGAATTCGTGCCAACCTCCTTGCCTTCAACGCCTGCCTCGCTGCTTTCGTGGGGGAGCCCGGGAGCAGGGCTTAGGGTTTAGGGTTTAGGGTTTAGGGTTTAGGGTTTAGGGTTTAGGGTTTAGGGTTTAGGGTTTAGGGTTTAGGGTTTAGGGTTTAGGGTTTAGGGTTTAGGGTTTAGGGTTTAGGGTTTAGGGTTTAGGGCTACGTCTTCATTTGGGTAGTCCAGGGCGTTGTCCCCTAAACCACCCTGAGCCCTGAACACCAAACCCTAAACCCTAAACCCTAAACCCTAAACCCTAAACCCTAAACCCTAAACCCTAAACCCTAAACCCTAAACCCTAAACCCTGCCTTAAACCCTTAACCCTAAACCCTGCACCCTAAACTTCAGAGCCGACATGCATGCGAAGTCTCTTGGCCGCAAAGCTCCCGTGACGGGCTCTGAAATCTAAATCCCTTGTGGGTTGAGGTTTTGAGGTTAGTGCGGCACTCCGACAGTAACGGCTCCCCTTTGGGGGGACCCTAATTTGATAAAGAAAACTACTCAAACCCTCAACCCTCAACCCTAAACCCTAAACCCTCAACCCTCAACCCTCAACCCTCAACCCTAAACCCTCAACCCTCAACCCTCAACCCTCAACCCTCAACCCTAAACCCTAAACCCTAAACCCTAAACCCTAAACCCTTCCTTAAAAAGCTGAGGTTTTTCCTGGGCGGTGGAGGGAGGCTCTAGCAATCCTCGGGCTGATGCCATCGGCGGAGGTGCCGAGTTGTGGCTAGGGTTTAGGGTTTAGGGTTTAGGGTTTAAGGTTTAGGGTTTAGGGTTTAGGGTTTAGGGTTTAAGGTTTAGGGTTTAGGGTTTAGGGTTTAAGGTTTGGGGTTTAGGGTTTAGGGTTTAGGGTGTAGAGAAATTATCAAAGTTTTTGCAGCTGCTAAACTTCTACACCATGAAATCCCCCCCCCCCCCCATTCAAAAAAACATGCCAACTGATGAGTCCAAGGGCCGTTTAGTTCTTTCAGGGCTCTTAGGGTTTAAATTTGAGGGTTTAGGGTTTAGGGTTTAGGGTTTAGGGTTTAGGGTTTAGGGTTTAGGGTTTAGGGTTTAGGGTTTAGGGTTTAGGGTTTAGCTTTCAGGGCTCAGGGTTTTGTTCTGCAGGTTTCGCGTGGTAAAGCCTCTTCAGACCATCAAGACCCTGAACTCCTCCCTAACCCCCCCGGCCCCCCGCTCCCACCCCCCCCCCCCCCCCGAACCCCATGCCCCGATAGCCGATGCCCTCACTTGCGGCTTCAGGGTTTCGTGGCTTAGGGTGCAGGGTTTCGAGTTTAGGGGTCTGGGAGGCTGTTGTTGGATTGCGGGCTGAAGGTTTATAGGATACCCTAAACCATAAACCCTAAACCCTAAACCCTAAGCCCTATAAACCCTTAGACAGAGAGGTCCAGCCAAACCTGGTCTCCTACTCTGACGCGCTCGTGGTGACCTCGCGGGGCGTCGCCGCAGGACCCGCATGTTCGACGGGGCTGGGGCCCTCCCACGTTTTAGGGTTTAGGGTTAAGGGCTTAGGGTTTAGGGTTAGTAGGGTTAGTAGGGTTTAGGGTTTGGGGGGCCTCCTCCCCCACCTTCTTCAAAGGATTCTGAGTGGGGTCTTGTGCTTCAATTATACAAGGCATAGAAGGGGCACACAAAGGTTCCCAGTAAAGATTACTCTTATTGTGACATTCCCTTAATGGCCCTAAGAACGTTTGTCAGATGGAAGGCCAAGCTAGTGTTGATTTCTATTGCTTTTTGCTTACATCAGAACAGATCAGTAATCACCATCATATGCATCCGCTTTGCCTCCCAACCTGTCCTATTTACTTTGGACCCGTTAGCCCATACAACTGTCAAGATGGCATCTCAATACCTTCCAACCCTTCCTACTGGTTCCTTCAATCCCCCTACACCCTACTTCAAGGGAGTTCTGTAAGGTTCCTAATTCCCTCAGTTCCCTACTAAGAATCGGCATAAACCCTAAACCCTAAACCCTAAACCCTAAACCCTAAACCCTAAACCCTAAACCCTAAACCCTAAACCCTAAACCCTAAACCCTAAACCCTAAACCCTAAACCCTAAACCTCGTGGGTTGTAGGGTTTCGGGATTGAGCTTCCCGAGCCCGGAACCAGAAGCTGACGAAGCCTGGATGTAAGATTGAGTGCTTGTGTAGTTTTCAGGACATACCGAAACCCTAATTAACCCGAAACCTTGAAGGGTTTGGGATGTGTTTCCGTGCGTTTAGTGTCAAGGCGGTCTTAGACGCAGGTAAGGGGCTTAAACGGTACTTGGGCTTGTGTTGTAAAGTCTTCCTGAAGTCTAGGGTTTAGGGCTTAGCCTAACTAAACCCTACAAAATTCGACCCCGTAGGAGCTTCACGCGTTCTTCTTGCAACCTGGCAGCAGCAACGCCGGCGTTGTCCCTCTTATGTCCTGATGACCTCGTGCTTGTGTTGGGGGACTTTTTCCCGAGCTATACGCAGGCAATTGAAAGACCTGCCTTTTCTGATGCCCTAAACTATATGCAAGCAGCTATACGCGAGAACCCCGTCAAGAAGGACCGGAAATTCCCAAACCTGAAGCCCGGTCCTCGTTCACTAGGGATGTGCGCCTGAGCCCTACCACGAGTTCTAGAGTGTTGGCCGGGATTTCTGTCGGTGTGCTTGGTTTAGGATGTCTGTAGGCCGCGGCCGCAGTCACAAAGGACCCAAAGTTTAAGTTGCTGAATTGGGATCCCGATGTGAGTGCACAAAAAGGAGGATTCAGAGAAAGTGTGAGCATTGACCAGCCAAACCCTAAACCCTGAACCCTGAACCCCCTCCGAATCCCCAGAAATATTCACCCACACACATGCAGACTCAATTCCCAACCCTCCCACCCACAAACCCAAACCCCAAGCCCCCCGAAAAATACTCCTGAACCCTAAACCTTAAACCCTAAACCCTAACCCCGCGAAAGGCCACTGCACCTGAAACAAACCTAAACCCTAAACCCTAAACCCTCAACCGAAGCCCAAAGAACTAAACCCTAAACTTCTGCTCGAAGGCTTCAAGAAGTTTTAGGGTTTAGGGTTTAGGGTTCAGGGTGTCTCTAAATCTAAGCCACCTAGCCCCCCCCCCCCCCCCCCGAAACCTCTTAAACCCCTAAACCCTTAGGGCCTGCGGAGCCCTAACACCCTAAACCCTCAACCCTGAACCCTAAACCCTAAACCCTAGCCCTAAACCCTAAACCCTAAGTCCTAAACCCTAAACCCTAAACCCTAACCCTAAACCCTGAACCCTGAACCCTCAAGTCTCCCCCCAAAAAATCTTCAAGCAGCATCAGGAGACTCTGGAGAAGCAGCTGCTGTTGCAGCTGCGGATGAGTGAGCTGGAGTAGGGGAGCTTCGGGTTTAGGTTTAGGGTTTAGTGTTTAGGGTTTAGGGTTTGGGATCTAACAAGGTGTGGAAAAGTTTTAGGGCTAAGGGTTGAGGGTTCAGGGTTTAGGGTTTAGGGTTTAGGGCTAGAGCATAAACCCTAACCCCAAAGGCTCGCAGGGGCAGAGCCTGGCTGGTCCTGCGGAGCGATGGCGGAGGGATCGAAAAGAAGAAGGCGACGCTATCCACAGGGGTCTATAGGGTTCGGGGAGGGTTTAAGGGCTAGGGTTTAGGGTTTAGAGTGCAGGGTCTTTACTCTGTGGTGCTTTACTGTAACTTTAGATCCGTAGCCTTTTTGGACTTATTGGGTTTCTGAAGGCAGCTAAAAAAATTTAATGTACAGCTACCCTCCTAAGTGCAGCCAAGTTTAGAGCCCATGTAGACTATAGACTTTGGGTGTATGGACCTTGGGGCCTTGCGGTGTTTGTAAGATCCTATGTTACTTGGAGTAAGAGGGTTTAGGGTGTAGGGTTTGGGGTTTAGGGTTTAGGGTTTAGGGTTTAGGGTTTAGGGTTTAGTGTTGAAGCAACCGATATGGCGTTAAAGAGAATTAGAGCAGAATATGGGGATCTCACGCTTCGGAAGACAACGCTAGGTAATACAGGTGCCTTGAGAATTCGAACAGGGCTTTTTTGGCGTGGTTATCGGGGTTTAGGGTTTAGGGTTTAGGGTTTAGGGTTTAGGGTTTAGGGTGTAGGGACCGTAAGGGAATACTGGTAGTCATCATTCCGACCCTTGTCTTACACCTGTGTAACCTGTTGGTTTCTGGGCTCCCGGTCCGGCAAATACAGGCTGAGGGAGCTAGGGATTCTGAGCAGAATGTTCCAGGCCCTGAGGTGAAAGGTGAAGCCTGAAATCCCGGTTTAGGATTTAGGGTTTAGGGTTTAGGGTTTAGGGTTTAGGATTCAGGGTTTAGGGTTTAGGACTTAGGACTTATAGGACTTAGGATTGTAGCCTTGTTGAACTTACTAAGCCCCATTAAGCCCATGAGCCCTATTCATCCCAAACCCTGAAGCAAGCTCCGCTGAACCATCTTTAGGGGTTTAGGTTTGGGTGTTCAGGTGTTAGCGTAACCCTAAATGGAGGCGTTAAGGTTTTAGAGCTTTGTAGTCCTGAAATCCTGAAGCCCCCAACCGCAGCTGGAGAACACAAAATGCAATCATGCCTACACCCTATAAGCTCTCGAAACCCTAAACCAAAAACCCTAAACCCCAAACCCTAAACCCTAAACCCTAAACCCCAGTCCCTGGCGCATTGCAGCCCGAGGTCGATCGTGGAGCCTTTCGTCGGATGCTCAGAGTCTTCAGGAACGTGCCCCCTCAGGGAGGTTTCATGGGGAATTGAGGACTTGTAGCCCTAAAGCCTAAACCCTAAACCCTAAGCATCCCTAAACCCTAAACCCTACATCCTAGCACTCAAGACCCTATAAACCCTAAACGGCTTGAGTAGGGCTTCCCTTCATTTGGGAACTTGGGTGCAAAGGATAGGAGGATGTAGAAGGACCCTGAACTCTCAACCCGAGACCCGAGTCTCTTTTTTTTTGGGGTGGTCGCCCTAAGGTGTCAGGCCCTGCATGATAGTCCAAATTCTTCATAGCCTGAACCCAAAACCCTAAACCCTAAACCCTAAGCAAAGAAACACACATTCGCCATGTTAGGGCTTGAAGGTTCGAGGTCCTATGGGACAAGCAGCAGACGATTCTCTCACTTGCAGGTTCCCGAAGTAGGGTTTAGGGTTTAGGGTTTAGGGTTTAGGGTTTAGGGCTTAGGGTTTAGGGCTAAGCGAACCCCAAGCTCTAAACCCAAAGCCCTAGAACACTCAGCCTCGGAGTACCTGGAGCCTTTTTCACATCGTGACATATCTTGACCACATTCATGCTGCACCTTCCCCCTTTCTAGCACGGAAGAGAGCTTTCTCAGGGTTGAAGCCGCAGTCTTTTGTAGGGTGGCCAGGTTTCGGCTTTTTTGGTCGTCAGGGGGTTGATAAGGGCACCCAACCCCTAAACCCATCTATCTTCGGATTGCGGGGTCTCGGGTTTAGCGTGAAGAGTTCTGGGTTTCAAGGTTTTGCTTCTGCCTTGCTTGAACTAGAAGGGTGCGATAGGGTTTAGGCTTCAGGCTTGAGGGCTTTCTGGCATTCTTGGCTTTAGCCGCAGCATCGCTATTGCTCTGCTGCATGCTTTGCCCTAAACCCTAAACCCTAAACCCTAAACCCTAAACCCTAAACCCTAAACCCTAAACCCTAAACCCTAGACCCTAAACCCTAAACCCTAAACCCTAATCCCTAAACGCTTTGCAAGCCTGGTAGCCAAGCAACCCTAAGCCTTAAATCGTAAACCTTAAAACCCTAACCCTGAACCTTAAGACCCTACACCCTACACCCCAAACCCTGAACCTCATGAACCCTAAACCCTCAGACCCGAAAGCCCTCATCACTAAACAGTAGTAATTACATAGTACAGTAAGCCCTAAACCCTAGACTAAACCCTAAACCCTAAACCCTAAACCCTAAACCCTAAACCCTAACCCCCTTAACCCTAAACCCCTAATTACCCTTAAACCCTTAACCCCCAATATCGTCAGCTGTCTTGCGAAGAACTCGGGCGCCCTCTAGTTGGGTTTGGGGTTTGGGGTTTGGGGTTTGGGGTTTAGGTTTAGGGTTTAGGGTTTAGGGTTGAAACCGCCAGCCTCCAATGTCGGACCCACTCGGATTTTTCGACCTCCGCGGGGCGACGTGGTGCCCCGGCAGCCGTGCGTGGGACCCACTGGGTTTTGGAGTACTATACTTGAATACTTTTTTCCGTGCCGGGTTCCTATTATAGCTACCTATACCTTAAAAAGTATAGACTTTTTTTCTAGAGTCTACTCCAAGGTAGGGGGATTGGGGCGTGCACATTGGCAGGTTGATCCAGATCTTGGGGGCCGAATGAAGAAAAAAAGGTTGGGGCCTGAATAATGAGAATAGGGTTTTGGGGGTGATTATAGTAGAATTAGAAAAGGGCACGGTTTAGGGTTTAGGGTTTAGGGTTTAGGGTTTAGGGTTTTACTAGGAATTATTCCGACCCTTGATGAGTATTCTGCTATAGGAAACCCTATATACCCTCTAAGCCTCTAGTTCGTGCTAGATCAGCCCACTCCCTGCTTCGCACGCGCGCGCGAGTAGCTGCCCAAGACGTTCTTCAAGGTTTCCTACTATCCCACACGCGCAGACGCATCCAAAAACTGCCACAAGCCCTAAACCCTAACCCCTACACCCCAAATTCTACACACCCAGCCCCAAGCCCTAACGACAACCCCCTCCCCCCCCCCTTCCCCCCAACGGCATCCCCCAGCCCGGATCTAGAAGCCCTAAGTTCAGGGTTTAGGCTAAAACCCTAAACCCTAAACCCTAAACCCTAAACCCTAAACCCTAACCCCTAACCCCTAAGCCCTAAGCCCTAGGCCCTAAGCCCTAAGCCCTAAACCCCTAAACTCAAACCCTTATCCCTAAACGCCAGGCTTCAAGCAAGGGAGGCCCCCTAGTTTTCTTGGCAACCCATGGTTTCAGGGGTTAGGGTTGAGGGTTTAGGGAGGATTCAACATGTGTCTTGAGTTTGTAGCTTCGGCTTTCGTCTACCGGTTAAAGGTTAGGCACCGTCGCATCAAAAGGCCTCGAAGATTTCGTTCTCTGTGTCTCTGCATCTCTGTTATCTCTTTCGCTCTCTCTCTCTCTCTCTCCCTTTGCGTCTGCGCGTGAGATTGTTGTGAGGAGTGGATGTGTTTTATAGTTGGCCGACAAAGCTAACAAAGCTAGCCACATCATCAAGCACACGGTTGTGGAACTCTCTGGTATGCAGCCGTTCCAGGCAGATCTCGAATCTGGGAAAGAAGAAGAGATGGACAGAGACTTCCGGCCGCATTGAGAACTTGGGGGCACTTCTTTGTCATAGTTGGGAAACAATTTTACTACTTAAGAGCCTATAAGGAATAAGAGTTCAAATTTTGAATAGTATCCCAACCAAGAACTAGACTTGTGTTTTTCTCATGCCATTCTTCAAGAGTGCAAGTGTTGGGAAAAACAGTTTTTAATATTATCCCAACCAAGAACTAGACTTGTGTTTTTCTCATGCCATTCTTCAAGAGTGCAAGTGCTGGATTGGGCTTATATACGTACGCTTTGTTCAGAGACAGGGGGGTTTAGGGTTTAGGGTTTAGAGTTTAGGGTTTAGGGTGTATGGGAGAACTTTCGCAAAGTAGTCCTGAGCTGAACTCCGCGCCCCCGTCCGAAACGAGATTGACCAAGAGAAGCTGGTTTCACAACGCAAATTGTTTGTCATAGTTAGTTGGGTAACATTTTGCATTTTTAAAGGTACTTAAACCCAAGAAGGAATGTAAATTCAAGTTTTTTACTGTCCCAACCATGAACTAGAATTGTGTGTTTGTGTAAGTGTGCTGGTGTTCTGTCACGACGGCAATTGGCTCGTGATTGTGCTCGTCGGGATGCATCGGGCTCCTCCTCAAGACTTGGCCTCAATCACGGGGCTTGCAGGCTTCAAAAACTAGCCCTGAACCCGAAACCCGAAACCCTAAGTCCCTAAACTCCTAAATCCCTAAATCCCTAAATCCCTAAATCCCTAAACCCCTAAATCCCTAAATCCCTAAACCCTAAATCCTAAATCCTAAACCCTACGAGGCTGAGCCTCATTTGACTAATTATGCCATGCGTGGTTTCCGGGTGTCAGTTTCGTGGGACTCTTCCGATGCCCACAGGGCGATATCCGTGCTGGAGGAGGTGGAGCGAAGGCAGGGTTTAGGGTTTACGGTTTACGGAGTTTACGGTTTACTGTTTGCGGTTTACGGTTTAGGTTTAGGGTTTAGGGTTTAGGGTTTAGGGCTCATGGGAGACATTCTCAGAAGGAACGTTATGACATGAGATCCTTGATATAGGACCCAAATCATTGAGGTTGAGGCTCTCATCAGACTAACCCTAAACCCTAAACCCTGATCCTCATGGGAGCCGGGTTTGCAGAAAGGCGGTGTACGTTAAGCAGCCCTAAGCCTGTTCATGGGTTACCTTGGTAGCCCGGCGGTACCCTTTTCCGATTTTGTGGCTCAAGGTTCCCTTTTCAAGTAATATGGTTCCTGGGCTACCAAGGTACTTGTGCAACCTCCTCTAAGGGGACCTTATGCTTTGAACCGCTTTGGTCAGTTTTTTTCTAGGTGAAAATCATAAGATCTATTTTTACACCAAGCCTTCCTCCGTAAACCCTAGACTCGACAGCGTTTTGTTTATGAACCCTAAGCCCTAAACCCTAAACCCTAAACCCTAAACCCTAAACCCTAAACCCTAAACCCTAGAGGAGCCTGGAACTCAATGTGATCCCCTGCAACGCGGTGCTCAGTGCTTTGGCCAAGCGCCTTGTGCTCGTCAGGCTTGAATGCTTGCAGGGTCAAGCCTTAATCCCACGTTTAGGGTTTAGGGTTTAGGGTTTAGGGTTTAGGGTTCAGGGTTCAGGGTTTAGGGTTCAGGGTTTAGGGTTTAGGGTTCAGGGTTCAGGGTTCCGGGTTTAGGGTTTAGGGCTTAGGGTCTAGGCACCTAGGCTCTACGAAAGGAGGGGTCAGTGAGTGCCATTGCAAACCCTAAATCCTAGAACCCTACGCCCTAATCATTGCATGCCGGCCCCGCGGACCAACCCTGCCCTGCACCTGGGGAGTTCGTGAGGTTTAGGGTTTAGGGTTTAGGGTTTAGGGTTTAGGGTTTAGGGTTTAGGGTTTAGGGTTTAGGGTTTAGGGTTTAGGGTTTAGGGTTTAGGGACCCGAACCCTAAACCCCCAAAGAATCTTGACTGCTGAGGTGTTCGCAATGGCTCCGAGCTGTCCAAGCACTGTGGAAGATGCAGGCCAAAAGAATTCAGCCAGCCCCTTGGCTTGCAAACCTCTGAACGAGTTTAGGGTTTAGGGTTTAGGGTTTAGGGTTTGGGGTCTGGGTTTTGGGGTTTGGGGTTTAGGGCCGTTTTGGGTTTAGGGTTTAGGGTTCAGGGTCTTTAAGGTTTAGGGTTTAGGTTTCAGGGCCAAGCTTCGAGCCAAAGCAAGGAGTCACACCTGGCCAGCATGTAGGGTTTCCCTTTGAACATTCCCTATCGTCATAGCTTTGTTCTCTGCACCAGCTCCTAGAGCAAACCTTTGTGGTGCTGTACTGTAACTCTAGATCAAGATCCTTAGCCTGTTTGGGTTTATTGGGTTTCTGAATAAGGCAGCTAAGAATTTTTAACTTATAGCCACCCTCCTAAGTGCAGCCAAGAAACTCCTTTGCTCCAGAGTGCTTCTGCAAGGTTTGAAACTCCACTTGGTGGTACACGGGTACTATGTAACCCAAATCTGGCAGCAATTAAAGCTCGAGTGTAACCATGCTTAGGGGACTTAGCCTGGTTCTACTTGCTTGGGCTAGAAGTTTTGGGTTTTGGGTGTGAGGGGGGCGATAAGCCCTCATGAACTTCCAAGCAACTTCTCCACTCATTCAAGCTGCAAATGAATCCCTAATTCAACCCCAATCCCTAAACCGCTGCTGGCTGCACAGGAACTCTAGACCCGAAGCTCTCTGGTAGGTTTGCTCACGAAGGCCTTTGAAAGATGACCAAAATGTAAACTTCAGCAACGGCAAGACGCAGATAATCCTCTAAGAAGGTCCCGTTCTCTCTTCAGCAGCTGCAGCGGAACAAAAACGCCTTTGCCTTGAGGCCGAAGGCCCCACGACCCTAAAGCAAAAGCCCTACAGGCTTAAAGCCCTAAAGCCTAAAGCCCCAAAAACCTTGAAGCCCGAAACCGAAACCTCTGAGCCCCCCTAAACCCTAAACCCTAAACCCTAAACCCTAAACCCTCAACCCTCCAAAGCCCTAGAGGCTCTAAGCCCTCACAGGATGACTTCAGCTTCGGGGCGGCCATTACGGCCCTCGAGAAGCTTGTCCGCCTGTTCAGTTTGCGGTGCCCTCAGCCCCAAGAGGCTGAGGCTTTAGGGTTTAGGGTTTAGGGTTTAGGGTTTAGGGTTTAGGGTTTAGGGTTTAGGGTTTAGGGTTTAGGGTTCAGGGTTCAGGGTTCAGGGTTTAGGGTTTGGGTTTAGGGTTTAGGGTTTAGGGTGTAGGGTGTAGGGTGTACGGTGTAGGGTTTAGGGTCGAGTCCCACCCCCCCTGTGCTCAGGGCAGCCTAAGTTTCCTTTTCTGCAATGGTCAAACACAAGAAGGCTAAGCACCGGGATTTGAAATCGACCTGCCGGGCAGGAACCCTGCGCCCTCAACCCTAAACCTACCAGCTCAGGAAAGCCGGGTGCTGGCAGCATGCCATCGGGATGTGGATGCAGATTGAAGCCAACCAGGCGAGGGTTTTAGGGTTCCGGGTGTACGGCGTTAAGGGTTTTTAGCATGGTACTGCCTAGTGGTCGGTGTGCCTGGTACGTACAAGGGGTTCCTATGTAGTAACTTTAGTATAGGACCTACCCATACTATGTAGGTACATGGGCCCTGATGAACCGAAATGAAACTTAGAATGGTGTTGGCTGTGTACAAAAGCATACGTTTCGCGCGCTGCTGTTGGATATTTCCACTCAGACCCCTGTAAGCATCCAAAAAGTAGGACCCGCCAAATAGTAGTCGATGTATACTTTGGGATGTTGCCCCTTATACTAGCAGTTCTTAAAGGGGGAACATCCCAATCTATACTGCTGTTCTAAGGGAATCTGCTTTTTGGATCCTCTCAGGGCCCTGGGCATACCCTAAACCCTAAACCCTAGACCCCAGACCCTAAACCCTACAGGATTTAGGGTTGGGCTTTAGGAGTTTCGGGCCTCCAAGCTTTTTTTAGCCGCACGCAAGGTGCGGCCGAACTTGATCCACTGCAACTCCGCCATCAGCGCGCCCCTTGGGCCTGCGCAGTTTAAGCAGATCCCTAAACTAGGGTTTAGGGTTTCGGGTTTAAGTAGGGCTTAGGCGGCTTAGGGTTTAGGGTTTGGGGTTTAGGGTTTAGGGTTTAGGGTTCAGGGTTTAGGGTTTAGGTTTAGGGTTTACAGGCAGGCCCTTGCGAGTTGTTTTTGTCTTCCTTCTTGGCTTCAATTGGATCATGTAATATCTCTTTTCAGACGCCTTTTTCAGGGCCATCCTGTAAACTATAGCCTATGTCCATCGGCTGTGGGGTTTTGGGTGTTTGTTGAATGTTTGCTCGGGTTTAGGGCTGACAGGCTTTCCAGGGTTTAGGGGCTGATGGGGGCTTATAGGGCTTCAGACCCTAAACCCTAAACCCTAAACCCCAAACCCCAAACCCCAAACCCTAAACCCTAAACCCTAAACCCTAAACAGGCTTGGGCCGGGTGAAATAGCTTCTAAGGGCGTTGGGCCACCGTAGGGGCATTCCTGAGGTCCGAGAGCTCCCAAATCCAAGGCCCAAGCATCCCGCTGCGAGCCCTAAAAGGCCTGCCTAAACCTGAAGACCCTTATCCACCCCCTAAACCCTAAACCCTAAACCCTAAACCCTAAACCCTAAACCCTAAACCCTAAACCCTAAACCCTAAACCCTCATCTGCCCAAAACAAGACGTTGGAGCCCCTCAAGGGTTTTGGGGCTTAAGGTTTAGGGTTGAGGGTTTCGGGCCCTAAACCCTAAACCCTAAACCCTAAACCCTAAACCCTAAATCCCAAACCACCCCCAAGTAAGTCCGAACCCAGGTGTGAGAAGGCCGGTGCCTGGGAGGCGGCCTATGACATGCTGGTGATGTTGCAGCTCGGCGGCGCTTATGGCTTAAAGGCATTCAGGGTTTTAGGGTTTGGGATTTGGGGTTTAGGGTTTATGGCTCAAAGGGGTTTAGAGTTTTGGGGTTTAGGGTTTGGGGTCTGGGGCTTAGGGTTTGGGGTTTATGGCTTAAAGGCATTCAGGGTTTTAGGGTTTGGGATTTGGGGTTTAGGGTCTGGGGGCTTATGGCTTAAAGGCTTTAAGGGATTTTGGAATTTGGGGTTTAGGGTTTGGGTTTTAGGGATTGGGTCTAGGGTGTAGGGTGTAGGGTTTAGGGTTTAGCTCATTGTTGTTTAAAGTGTTGAGGCTCTTTCGGCTTAGGGTGCGCTCGTTGTTTCAAGGGCTAAGGTGCACCTTATGTTTTTGGTTCCAGGGGTTACCCTAAACCCTGACCCTGGAACCCTAAACCCTGAACCCTAAACCCTAAGCCCCAAACCCTAAACCCTAAACCCTAAACCCTAAACCCTAAACGGTTCGAGTTTTAGGTTTGGCGGTTGTATGTTCTTGGCTCAGGGTGCGGCTCCTTCGCCCAGGGCTTGAACCGGGCATGACGTCAAGCCTGGGCCCTTTTATATAAGGGTTTAGGGTTTAGGGTTCAGGGTTGAGGGTTTGAGGGTTTAGGGTTTGAGGGTTTAGGGTTTAGGGTTTAGGGTTTAGGCCCATGTTGCCCAACACCCGAGGCAAAGCATCGCCCTGCGTGCCGACGCGATCACGTGCAGTGCGGTCATCAGCGCATGTGAGATCCTCCGCTGGCAGAGGGTGTCGGACTTGTTTAGGGTTTTGGGGGTGTAGGGTTTAGGGTTTAGGGTTTAGGGTTTTAAGTTGGGATGTTCCCCCCCCATACTAGCAGTCCTTAATAGGGATGAGAATAGGGGATATTATATCCCTATTAAGGCCTGTTAGTATAACGGGGAACATCCCAACATCCAAGTCTGGAGCATTTTTGGGTGTACTTGAAGCTTGGCAGCGTGTGCGTGCGTGTTCGTATGTTGGGCCGCGGGTTTCGTGGGTGGGGCAATTGTCAGTTGGCTGCATCCAGCGAAGTCCTCCACTTGAAGCCTCTGCGGAGGTGTTGCAGTGACGTTTTCGGAGCACACCCTAAACCCTAAACCCTAAACCCTAAACCCTAAACCCTAAACCCTAAACCCTAAACCCTAAACCCTAAACCCTAAACCACTTCTATTCCTAGCTTTCTGGGGAACCTCCTGAACTCAAGCCCGGGAACTTGCGGGCGAAGCTTTGTGAGGAAAGTTCGTTCCCAGAAGGAAATTAGGGCATGGCACTATGCACCTTTTATCCTGCTATGTAACCCCAAGCCCTGTAAAACCTCAAAACCCTCGAAGGGATGCCCTAAACCCTAAACCCCTACAAGCCCTATAAAAGCTATAAGACCGTTTAGAAGCCTCATGCAGAGCCTTTAAAGCCCTTATATGGGATGATACAGGGACCACGGACCTCCTTCCGAAGAACCAGTAAGGAAAGGAGACTGGGGGGGGGGGGGGCCCCCATTAATTATAGGGGACCCTAGGGGCGATTTAGGGGCGATTTGGGGACTACTCCGGTATATAGGGGCTATATGAAGAATATATAAGGGTTGTATAGGGGAATAAAGATTAAGCGTCCCTTCTGGGGTCCCTCCTTATGCCTCCCTAAACCCTAAACCCTAAACCCTAAACCCTAAACCCTAAACCCTAAACCCTAAACCCTAAACCCTAAACCCTAAACCCTAAACCCTAAACCCTAAACCCTAAACCGACCCTAAACCTTAAACAGTAAGGAAGGGAGACTGTTGGGAGCAGTCGCTGGACCTCTTGGCATGGATGGGCCGCACACACCTTGAGGCGGACGCGGCGCGGCGGCAGTGGGTTTAGGGTTTAGGGTTTAGGGTTTAGGGTTTAGGGTTTAGGGTTTAGGGTTTAGGGTTTAGGGTTTTAGGAGCTCCCAGGCTAGAGCCTGAACCCTTTACCTCAAGCCCGATCGCCCTAAACCCTACTTTTTTCGTTTCGGGTTTACTATGGTTTAGGGTTTAGGGTTTAGCGCTTCGGGTTCTCCCGAGATCGCCGAGGTAATTTGCTGCAACGGCGTCATCAGCGCCTGCGAGAAAGGCGGCCGATGGGAGCAGCTTCTTCGCAATTACTGCTTGGTAGCCCAGTGGTACCCTTTTTTCCCTTTTGTTCGGTTCAAGGTTCCCTTATAAAGGAACCAACCGAAAGAAGAGTGCCCTTTTTATGATATGGTTACCGGGCTACCAAGACTGCTGTGCTGGGGTCAGAACTAAGCCCTAAACTTAAACACCAAACCCTAAACCCTAAACCCTAGCAATCGTGCGCGTTTCGGTGAAGCCTAAACCCTAAACAGCCCTGTGATACAAGACCCTGAGAGCCTTGCACTCCAAGCTGCAGCGGCCTTCTGTGCTCTGAACCCTCCACCTAAGCCCGAAACCCTACACCTAAACCCTAAGCCCTAAACCACAAACTCTAAGCCCTATTCCTAAACCCTGCCCCCCAAACCCCAAGAATAGGCCGAAGCCCTCAACCCTCAATAGCCATGCATGCATGAAGACACCCCACCCCCAAACAAGAAAGAAAATTCGAGTTTAGGGTTTTAGGGTTTAGGGTTTAGGGTTCAGGGTTTAGGGTTTAGGGTTTAGGGTTTAGGGGTTAGGGTTTAGGGTTTAGGGTTTAGGGCTAGATGAAGGCAAGCTCTCCTCATCCTCCGATCTGTGACGGCCTCCGCGCTCCGCCCCACCCGGAACACCTTCAACGCCGCCATCCGCGCCTGCGGGCAGCTCCTCTGGAAAGTCCTGGTGGGGGTGGGGGGGGGGGGAGTGGGGTTTGGGGTTTAGGGCTCGGGTTTCGGGTCTAGGGTCTCGGGTTTAGGGTTTAGGGTTTTTGGGGGTTAAGGTAGGCCCTTGAGAGATTTTACATCTTCCCCTGATTGGGGGTGCGAGAGGATCATATCTAGGAATGGTTTGTGGTTTAGGGTTTGGGATTTAGGTTTAGGAGGACGGCGTGTCCCGAGCCCTAACCCTAAACCCTAAACCTTAAACCCCTGCAGCAAGATGCTCAAGACCCCTAAGCCTCAAACCTCAGCTCCGGGCCTGATGGTTCGGCTCAGGTTTAGGGTTTTAGGGTTTTAGGGTCTTAGGGTTCCAGGGTTTACGGTTTAGAGTTTAGGGTTTAGGGTTGGGGGTTTGGGGTTTGGGGTTTAGGGTAGGGTCTAGGGCCTCCAGGGTCTAGGGTGGCCCCAAGCCATCCCTTCTAAGCTAGGCCCTTATTCCCCTTTTCTTCGGGTTTAGGGTTTAGGTTTAGGGTTTAGGGTTTAGGTAGGGTTTAGGGTTTAGGGTTTAGGGTTTAGGGTTTAGGGTTTAGGGTTTAGGGTTTAGGGTTTAGGGTTTAGGGTTTAGGGTTTAGGATCCCTTGACAGCCCCAGTTAAACTAAAAGGGGTGCCCGGTTTTCTTCCTAGGTTACTCTGGGGTAAGGTTCTTGTCTAGCCGAAGCTATGATACTGACAGCGAATGAGCCATAATGCGCGATCCGCTCCACTTACAACTAGAGGGGGGCGGTCCTTGCCGGCGTGCTCAAGCAGAGCAAGCTGGGTTTGTTTTGAAGATTCTAGGTACCGGGGATGATCCAACCATCATAGAACACGAGCACCCTAAGTACGACCCGGAATCCTAAACCCTAAACCCTAAACCCTAAACCCTAAACCCCGAACATTGCAGAGCCCGAAGTGGCCCAGGCGGGATGGTCAGTGGCAGAATGCCTTGCTCCTGCTTGGGGAGATGGAGCATGTGGTGCTGACGCTTGACCACATTCGTATAGCCCGATGTTCCCATTTCGGGTCGAGAGCCCTGGAGCACAGGTTTGGTCTAGACCTTATGGGCCCTAAGAACCCCAAAAGTCCTAAGAACTCTAAAGCAACCGTATACCCTTGTAAGCTCTACAACATCCAAGAAACCTCGAGTCGATTCTACGAAAATGGTCGTTGGACATCGTCACATACCCTGGAAAATCGTAAGCCCTAAAAGAACCCTTAAGAACTCTGCAACAGCCCTAAACCCTGAGAAACCGAAAAGAACCCAAACAATCCCGCAACAAGCTCTACAAGTTCCTAAAAGAGCCCGAAAAGAACCCCCAAGAAACCCGAAACCCCAAGACCTAAAACCTAAACCCCAAACCCCAAACCCTAAACCCTAAACCCCAAACCCTAAACCCTAAACCCTCTTGTACCTTTTCTGAAGGACGCCGGACGTCGTCACGTACGGGGCGGCCATATGCAGTTGCGACGCTCGGCGCCCCTTTCGAGACAAGAGGTCCGGATTTTCGGTGCCTGGGATGCCTTCGGGTTAGGGTTTAGGGTTTAGGGTTTAGGGTTTGGGGTTTAGGGTTTAGGGTTTAGGGTTTGGGGTTTAGGGTTTAGGGTTTAGGGTTTAGGGTTTATTGTTTAGGGTTTAGGGTTTAGGGTTTAGGGTTTATTGTTTAGGGTTTAGGGTTTAGGGTTTGGGGTTCAGGGCTTGGGGTTTAGGGTTTGGGGTTTGCGGTTTCGGGTTCGGGGTTTAGGGTTTAGGGGACACCCTTGATTCTTAGGCTGCTGAACCTCGTTCGGTTGCACCCGTACTTCAGGGAGTGTTCGAAAGGGGTGCTTCCGACCACACAAGAGACCCAACCCTGAGTCCAGCGGACTCCTGAGGCGCAGGGCTTTTGGTTTAGGGTTTACAGTAGGGTTTAGGGTTTTTAGGGTTTTTATGGTTTTAAGGGGTTTTTGGGTTTTTTAGGGTTTTTAGGGTTTTTGAGGGTTTTTTTTAGGGTTTTTTAGGGTTTAGGGCTTAGGGTCGTTCAGATTCAGGGTCTATGGTTTACAGAGCTTAGGGGTTCGTAACTCCTACACTACTTATCCTTAACCCGACCTGAGGTCTGTCTCGGGCCTCGAGCTCTCCCCGCCTCCCAGTGACAAGAAAGCGAGGAATAAGGTGCCTCCTGAAAGTTCCAATTGTTGCGGTTTAGGGTTTAAAGCCCTACACCTTTAAACCCTCTGCCCGAAAAAAGGTTCACCCTTTCGTCAGAATTTCGGCCGAAACTCCCATATCACTCGGTAAGCTCCCAGAGACCCTTTCGCTCTAGTAAATCCGAAGGATACCCCGGTAGTACCCTTCTTTCCCTTCTAGAGTGTAATATAGGGGTCGGAATGATTACTAATCATATTCCCTTATGGCCCCTTGAAATGACAACTCTACTATAATAACCGCCGAAACCCTGTTCAAATTACTAAGGCTCCTACAGTAGGGTCTCGGGTCTGGTCTTTAGGGATTAGGGCTTGCCTTCTGACCTCCTTACTTGGTCATAGTTGTGTAACATTTTACATTTTAAGGGTACTTAAAGCCCATGAGGAAAAAACATTTAAATTCCTAATATTTTCCGAACCATGAACTACATTAAGCAAAAGGGGCACCTTCTCCACCGAGCCCAAAACCCACCCAAAGCCTTCCAGACTGAGCCATCCAGCTGAAACCCCTAAACCCTAAACCGAAACCCTAAACCCTAAACCCTAAACCGAAACCCTAAACCCTAAACCCTGAACCCTAAACCCTAAACCCTAACCTCCTCGCAAGGACCGGGAAGAGTCCTGGGAGGTCGCGATGGCACTGCTCAGCCAAGCGCAGGCGGGCTTGCTGAGGAAAACATTGGGCCTGTCTCAACTTGGATGGGTAACCCTAAGGGTCCATGTACCTTATTATTATATACTTAGACCCAAAAGTCCTTATATAGGAAGTACTTTAAGGCCCAAGTATTCCATAATTAGGTACATGGACCCTTAGGGTAACCGCCGCACATCTTGCTTTATGTTTATATGGGTAGTTGTCGAAGTGATGATTCTTTTGGGGTACTCTTAAATCTTAGGTGCCGTAGTATAATTGGGACCCCCCCAAAAGGGGCCATAATGTTGACAACCACCCACATAGCGGGTCATAACCCGAAAGCCGACCTCAAGAAGCATCCGAATCTTGGGGTGCCAACATGAGGGTTTTGCGCGCATAGTACTTAGCCATCGACCGATCCATCTGCGTATCTATCTACCTATATTACAACAAGGTATGTAAATATATAAATCCAATATTTTGTACAAGCAAAGATCATATACATAAATATACATAAATATACAGAAATATACATATATGTACACATATATACATGAATACAAATAGATGTACATAAATGTAAATATTCGTATATAAATATATATATATGTATAGATATGCAGAGGGTTGCACAAGTTTCATGTGGAGGTCATAAAACCCTCTTGTCCGCCGCAGCCGCGAGTGCGAATGATGTCTGGGATCCCTAAAGCCTACGCACACCCTGGCGACCCAGCACCCTAAACCCAAAACCCTGAACCCCGAAACCTGAACCCTAAACCCTAAACCCTAAACCCTAAGCCTGCAGGTGAGGGTTGAGGGTGTCTTGATGAAGGATTCGTTTTGGCGCTGCATTGAGGGCCTCAAGCTTTTAACACCCTAGAGCTGAAATCCCTAAACCCTGAACCCACAAATCCCGAAACGCCAAATCTAAAGCAACCTAAATGTCGGCGTTGGGACCCTAACCCCTTAACCCTAAACCCAAAAGCCCTAAGCCTATATGTCCTATAAGCCCTAAGATCTAAGCCCACAGAAGCCCTGAGGACCGGACCGTGCGGCTTGACGACGTGGCTCTGGACGCCGCCATGCATTCAGCGGCAGAAGTGGCACAATGGTGCCTTGAATTACCGGCCACGGGATCGGGTTTAGTTTCTTTTTTGGGTTTTCCGGGTTTCAGGGTTTTGGGGTTTAGCGGTTTTGGGGTTTTATATAGGGGGTTCAGGATGTTTGTGCGCTGGGCAAAATCGAGGTAAGAGTGTCGGAGTGGGAGACGTTAGATCCGGGCGTAGGGGCTTCTGACGGAATGTAGAGGGTTAGAGGTTTAGGGTTTCAGGTTTTAGGGTTTGGGACTTCTGCATATGTACCTTTGTATCATAAGCTCTATACTTCTGATTACATAGCGGCATCCTTATGTTGGTCACCGGCCTTCGCAAATGTTTCGTTTGCTTTGGCAAACAGAAATTCACCAGCTGATCTGTCTGCAATCGATTCTGAAGATAACCCTAAGCCCGAAGCCCCTAAGCCCGTAAACCCTAACCAGACCCAACAACGCCTAAACCCCTCAACCCTAAATTCAAAATCCCTAAACCCCCAAACCTCAACCCTGAGCCCTAAATCCTAAACCCCTAAATCTGCTAAACCCACCCGTAAACTGCCCTAAACCCCTAAACCCGACACTTAACCCTAAATCTACTAAGCCCTAACCCACGAAGCCCCCCAAACCAAAAATCTACTGAACCCTAGCTCGCTAAAACCCTGAGCCTTACATCTACCAAACTTAAACCCACTAAATCCCTAAACCCTACATGTACTAAACCCATCCCCAAAACCCTACATTTACTGAACCCGAACCCACTAAACCCTTAAACCCTACACCCCACTAAACCCCTAAACCCTACATCTACTAAACCCCAACCCACTAAACCCACTAAGCCCCCAAATCTTTTAAACACTGTACCCCTAAACCCTAAACCCTGAACCCTAAAGACTAAACCCTAAACCCGAACCCCCGACCCCTAAACCCTAAAACCTAGGCACATCGCAGCTGAACATGCTTTGTTCCACCTGCACGCCAGCATGGTCATCCACATGATTCAGGATGGTCCGACCTGGCATTATTTTGCACAGAACCTGTGCGAGAATCTGGCCGATGACTGTGAGGTGCAGGCTATGCTTCGCAATCTCTCTGCGCTGATCGCACTGAATCTAAACCCTAAACCCTAAACCCTAAACCCTAAACCCTAAACCCTAAACCCTAAACCCTAAACCCTAAACCCTAAACGACCAATGGAGACTCAATGTGGCAGGTCCCGGTCCGACTGGAAGGCATTGACCGTCATACTTGCCCGACGCCCCTCTGGGATGCCCTGCTCAATCTTCAGACAGACCTGCCCGGGCCGTGCTAAACCCTAAACCCGAAACCCCAAACCCTAAACCCTAAACCCCAAACCCTAAACCCTAATTAAACCCTGAACCCTAAACCCTAAACCCTAAACCCTAAACCCTAAACCCTAAACCCTAAACCCTAAACCCTAAACCCTAAACCCTAAACCCTACGCTGCACCCCTGAGCCGCCCCAAGGGAACCGGCCCTTCTGATCTTGGAGAACATGGAGGCCGGGGCGGCCCGCCTCCCAAGCTTTAGGGTTTAGGGTTTAGGGTTTAGGGTTTAGGGTTTAGGGTTTAAGGCTTAGGGTTACGGTTTAGGGTTTAGGGTTTGGGGTTTAGGGTTTAGGGTTTAGGGTCTAGGGGAGGGCTCAGGTCTTGGGGCTTAGGGATTGAATCAGTCTTAGCACCTTCATGATAGTTATTGGTAGGAATGACTGGGTTTTGAAGTACTATACTTCAGTACTCTTTTTGGTTCTGGGTTCCTGTTATAATAGCTACTTATACCTCAAAGTATATACCTTTTTCAGGGTCTACTCCAAAGTAGGGATGAGGAAAGTAGGTACCTTCATCCGCCCAACCTAACGCCCAAGAAGTCTCTACCAAGAGCCACCATCAGTCAAATCCTTCATTCAGGGAGCGAGGGTTTAGGGTTAGGGTTTAGGGTTTGGGTTTAGGGTTTAGGGTTTGGGGTTTAGGGTTTAGGATTTGGGGTCCCTCTCGGGCTATGAATAGCAGGGCCGGGGAGGCTTGCAGCTTAGTTGCTGTTTCAAGGTAGGTGTGGTGAGCCACAGACCCTCTTTAATGCTCCGGGGGATGATTCGTGGAGTAGAGTCTATACAGCAGCTTAAGCCCGAACAGCCGAACCCTAAAGCCCTAACCCTAAGCCCTTGCCCTGAACCCTAAACTGGGCAGAAACTTTGGGGTAGTTTCTGCCTTTCCCTTCTTTCCCTTCTAAGGGAACCTACTCATAGATAATTTTGAAAGGGCTTTAAAGCACCACTCAGTAAACCCTACACCCGAAGCACTGAACGTGCTGGCAGGCCCTTGGTGTTCCACGTGGTCAGATCTCATTCAACACCTGCATGCATGCCTTAGAGGCCATCCCGCTTGGCTTTCCAGCCCCAGGGGTTGAGGATTGAGGTTTTCGACTTTAGGGATCTTCAAAGGAGTGATTTAAGGTAACCCTAAAAAAACCTAAACCCTAAACCCTAAACCCCAAACCCAAATTAGTTGTTTAGGGCTTCGAGTATTAGGGTGTTAGGGGATGTGCAGGTAAGGGTTTTTCTTTCGACTTTGCGGGTTTTGCTGCTTAGGGTTGCGAGTTTGGGGATTCAGTGGTGGTAAACGAATCCCTAAGCTCTAAAACCCTAAACCCTAAACCCTAAACCCTAAACCCTAAACCCTAAACCCTAAACCCTAAACCCTAAACCCTAAACCCTAAACCCCCAAACATCTGCAGGAGCAGTGGGCGTGCTCCCTGCAGCTGCTTGCCCGGCTGCGCCGGGATCCTCGCGTAGGACCCGACCAGACCACGCAGCTGGCCTTCAGAGTCTGGAGGTTCTGAGAAGTGGGCTTGGGGTTTAGGGTTTAGGGTTTGGAGTTTAGGGTTTAGGGTTTAGGGTTTAGGGTTTAGGGTTTAGGGCTTTGGGTGGTTTGGGGTTTAGGTTTAGCCGGGGGTTCTGAGAAGTATGAGCTTTGGACCTCAAATCCTCAACCATTTGGGGGAGTTCCCTGATTTCGGGTTCCTTTTAGGGATACTACATATACATTGTTTTTTTGATATATCTATATATATATATATATAAACTCTATATGTTATATCTAAGACTCTAGCTTGAAATAGGAGCCAGGGACCCTCATATTTGGGGGAACTTCACATCTAGATGCTCTGGGGGCTTGGATTGGGGTTTCAGTCGGAGAGGTTAGGGACTCGAACTTAATTAGGGCTTAGGGTTTAGGGTTTAGGGTTTAGGGTTTAGGGTTTAGGGTTTAGGGTTTAGGGTTTAGGGGGATTCGGACTTAATTAGGGCTTAGGGCTTCTCAAGGGTTTAGGGCTCAGGATTCCGTCACCCTCGCAAACTGAAAGGCCGAGTGGCTTTAGGGGATGGGGAATGGGAATACACATATACACAATTAAATAAAAAATATATGTGTGTATATATTTACATATATATATATATACATATATATATGTACATATTGGGAGAAATTTGTTAAACAAGATATATATATATACTTATTAGGAGATTCTTAGTATTCGAGGATGTAAGGGGTCAGGTTAAGGCCCCTTTGGGGATTCCTGGAGCGCTGAAATCTTGGACCCGTGATTTTGTGAATGGGTTGGAAGAGAATAGCGGACGAACCAGAAGCAGAGCCCTCAGCCAGAATGTGGCATAAGTCAAACCCTCAACTGCTAGTAGCTCAAGAACCGCCCAAAAAGAAGATAAAAACCCCAATTCTCTCTTTCAGGAAGAAACCCTAAACCTCAATAGAAGTCGAAGGTACACGTTGTTCTTCAAAGCCCTGGTGCTCCGCGAGCAATGGGAGGAGGCACTTCAAGCCTTGGATGACATGAAGGACGTTCGGGTTTAGGGTTTAGGGTTTAGGGTTTAGGGTTTAGGGTTTAGGGTTTAGGGTTTAGGGGTTTAGGGGTTTAGGGGTTTAGGGGTTTAGGGGTTTAGGGTTTAGGGGTTTAGGGGTTTAGGGTTCAGGGTTTAGGGTAAGCCCTAACGGCAGTTATATGGTCCTTCAAAACCTGGGGTTTAGGATGTAGGGTTTAGGGTAGTTATGCTGTGCCTTAATGTGGTCCTTTGCCTTCTTTAAAGGGTTCCAAAGTATGGGCCCTTGTATGTTATAGGGTATGTTAGGTGTATGAAAGGGGTCCCCATTTTAAAGGGTCCATGTTTGCTAAGGTATCATGTAACGACCCTTAGATAAGCAGCATGGAAGCATATGAAAGGCAAACACATCCACTTGATGCAAGACCACATCTAAGGGTAGCATGGTGGTCCCTTACCCCCCTTAAAGGGTTCTGAAGTATGGGCCCTTAGGTTGTATAGGGTATACAAGGGGTATATAAGGGGCCCCCTTTGGTTTAGGGTTTAGGGTTTAGGCTTTAGGGTTTAGGGTTTAGGGATAAGGGTCCCATACTAAGGCACCATGTAACTGCCCTTGGACCACAACACAAGAGAGACCTCGAGAGACAGCAGCATGACCAGCACACGGACCCCAAGACCAGGGCGAGAACCTAAACCCTAAACCCCAAACCCCAAACCCCAAACCCCAAACCCCAAACCCCAAATCCCAAACCCCAAACCCCAAACCCCAAACCCCAAACCCCGAACCCCGAACCCCGAACCCACAAAGCACCGTGGTGTGCAAGTGGTCAAATGAGATGACAGGTTGAAGGCCACGGGTTTAGGGTTTGGGGTTTGAAAAATGGGGTTTAGGGTTTAGAGTTCACGACCTATACTAAGCCCCTAAGCCCTAAACTCTACGCCCGAAAGTTGTTGGTCCCTTGTGGCTTGTTTTGGGGCTTGGCTTCCTAGAACTTAGGCCGAACAAATGCACAGAGGCTCACACTTCCAGGGCTTGTGTAAGCCGTTTGTTGTGCAGCTGCATCCGTGCAGTATTGTGACAAGCTAGAAGGCATGTACACAAGACTCAGCAAGTACTTTGCCCTAAACCCTAAACCTTAAACCCTAAACCCTAAACCCTAAACAGCCTAGGTTTCAGGAATGGCGTCCACAGCTTTCTTGAAAGCTCCATTCATACCCCCAGGCTTTGGAGGTCCGCTCCGCTCGAAGACCCTTAGCCCTGCGGTTTAGGGTTTAGGGTTTAGGGTTTAGGGTTTAGGGTTTAGGGTTTAGGGTTTAGGGTTTAGGGATACGAAAAGGTTCATGGGCACTTATAACCCCAACAATAGCTGTACCTAACAGCCCCCTAAGTCCCCTAAGCAGGTTATAAGTATACGTATAACCTGGGTCATCAGTACCTGTGAACCTCCAAGTAGGGCGCATCGGTTACTCCTAGATCGACGTCTTTCTATCAGCTGAGTTGGCCGCGCAGGACGACTCGGTTCCACCTACCGCCTTTCGACGTGCCCTTAGGGGTTTAGGGTGTTGGGGGGTTACTACTAGTTGCTTAAGAGCCTTAAGAACCACGCCAAGAATATTCTTCCTTATACCGGCAATATAGGATTTTTATCTTCTGTTTTTTGGGGGGTTCTTAAGCAAGTAATAGCTTAGGGGTTTAGGATTTCAGGCTTTAAGGGTTCAGGGCCGTGGGGTGGGTTTTCGGCCTCCGAGTTCAAACCTTGAGGCTCTAAGATTCGGGCGCTTTAGATCTTAAGACCCTAAACCCAAAGCCCTCCAAACGCGATACCCTAACCCTATAATTCGATCATCCCCAAGCCCGATTTCCAAGCCCTAAACCCCAGAACCCTAAACTCAAAACCCTCAACCCTACACCCTACACCCTTCTCAGGGCGTAGCTCTAGGTCGAAGCCATAGGCTCAAGGTATCGTAGGGTTTATGGTTTTCTCAGGGTTTATAGGGTAGTAGAGGGTTCATAGGGTTGACAGTTCATAGGTTTACAGGGTTTATAGGCTTTTTGGGGTTTACAGGTTTTATAGGGATTTATAGGGTGACAATGCCGGAGTTCTTGAAGCCTCAGGGTTCGGGTTTAGGGTTTAGGATTTAGGAATCAGGGTTTAGGTTTTACTGTTTAAGGTCCACGTCGAAGATCTGAGCAACTGGGAATCTGATGCTCTCTAGGCCGAACCGCACCCAATTGAACTTTCGTGGGGCCCCTTCTCGAGTAGGAAGATTATTGGTTTGACCTTTTTTAGCCTAAACCCTAAACCCTGTGTATGGTTACGTTTAGCCTTTTGTAATTCCTTCGCTTTTGGAGAAGTAAGCTTGCTCTTGATTACTAAGCGCCCCATGCTCGGAATTATCGGGCCCGATCGAGCCTAAAGGTTTAATTAGGTTTTGGGGTTTAGGGTTTTAGGGTTTAGGGTTTAAACCCTAAACCCTAAACCCTAAACCCTAAACCCTAAACCCCTTAGCCAGAACCTGAGTCGCCGAGGCTCACGACTACGCAGCTGTCATGAGCTGCTGCCGGCGCGCCGAACTTCGACCAGACATTCCGAGTAAGGCAGTAAGACTTCACCTTTAGGGTTTAGGGTTTAGGGTTTAGGGTTTAGGGTTTAGGGTTTAGGCCGATTAGGACCCAGAGTAGGGCCCTATTCCCTTTTTTGTGCGGGTGTAGGTTCCCCTATACGCGCCTTTAAGCCAAAAAGAATACCCTTTTTTTCCTAGGTTACTCTTGGGCCTAGATTATGGGACCCCTTGATCAGACTCCCTGTCAAAAGAGGCCCCAAGTTCAGCTGGTAGATCAAGCTAGGGTCGCGGGGTGGGCTTAGGGACTAGTTGGTCTAGGGTTTAGGGTTTAGGGTTTAGGGTTTAGGGTTTAGGGTTTAGGGTGCCTGGGAGTTGGATGTGCGGATGCATCCTGAACTGGGTAGGCATGGTCTGCATTTCCCGTAGTGATTGGGGCTACGAAAACCCCTAGCCCTAAACAATATTTGTTGAGAGGCCTAAGGGGCCCACGTAGGAATGCAACAGAACGTGATTCTCGTAAACAGCTGTGGGGCAGCCAGCTTTGGGGATTGTAAGTATCACGTAGCTTCAGTTAGAAGTCCCTTATAGCTACACTTAATATCTTATGGGGGGCCCTTCCGAGTAGTTCCCTGAGATGATAGGTCACCCAGACACTCCACAAAGGCGCCCGACGTGCCACGAGCGCTGCTGCAGAGGATGCGCTTCAGATGCAGCCAGATCCGTGTTGCGAAGCCTTCTAGACCCCAAACCTAGCAGTCCTCGACCCCATACATCCTGGAAACCCTAAACCCTCCAAACCCTAAAACCCTAAACCCTGAACCCTAAACCCTAAACCCTGAACCCTAAATGGAAATTAGGTTGCACAGCTCGGTGGAGCTCCACAGCTTCGCCTACCCGGCCCTCATCGCCGCGGCGGCCAGCGCCGACGAAGCCGTCGTGGCTCGGGCTGAGTTTAGGGTTTAGGGTTTAGGGTTTAGGGATTCTTAGGTATTTTAGGGATTTTAGGGATTTAGAGTTCAGGGTGTTAAGTGTTTTGTTTAGGGATTTTAAGGGTTTCAGGGTTTAGGGTTTTAAGGGTGTTTTAGGGATTCTTCGGGATTTAGAGTTCAGGGTTAGGGTTTTCAGGGTTTTTTAAATGATGTTTAGGGTTTTAAGGTTTAGGGTTTGAAGGTTTTTTTTTAACGGATTTTTTGGGTTTCAGGGTTTCGAGAATTTAAGGGGTTTTTTAGGGTTTTAGGGTTTTTAGGGTTTTTAGGGTTTAGGGTCTGGGGTTTGAACGGGCTTTTTAGGGATTTTAGGGTTTCCGAGCCCTTAAGCCCTTGGCACCCTAATCGTATAGCATGCTGCAATCTGTCCACATGTCTGTCAATGATAAATGAGAAGGTTTTTTTGCCATAAGTTCGTGCTGTAAGAGGTAGGATTTAGCGCTTACGGTTTGGAAAAAAAGTATATGTTTTGGTGAGGGCATATCGGGCTCCCTGCACTCGCAATGAAAGCCCTACACCATATGCGCTGCATGAGCAGGATTATAGAGGTGCTCTAAACTAATTATGATCTTATTTGTGGACCCTATTACCATACAGCGCCATATATTCAGAGTAGCTACCCCCGCATGGGCCCATGATTTTGAGAATTCCCATGTGCACAGGCCCTAAGGGTCCATGAACCTAAATAGGGAATACTTGGGCCTTAAAGTACTTCCAATATAGTCACTTCGGGGCCTAAGTATATAAAAATGAGGTACATGGACCGTTGGGGAGGTACATGAAGCAGGGTTTATATTTCTGTTTTTGGTGAGTGTATATATGGTTTCCCTTTAGTATTGGTGAGTGTTTACCTTGGGTGTCCTTTTGGGGGTACAAGAAATATAAACCCTGGCTCAAGGTGGCCTGTCCCTTCCCGGGGGTGAGCTGTTAGTTAGTTGCTTTTGCGTGGTCCCTTCCCCTTGGATTAGGATCATGGCAGCCGACTACAAAGCCAGGCCCAGGATAAGAGAGATCTATTTCTCTCTGATGCTCATGGTTGCGAGCTTGTGTGGCACGACCCATGCCTGCTCTCTGTACCCATGTGAGTACCATATCAGCACAAGACACAACGAGACGAATTGGTTCTCGAAGAACCGAATCTTGCACTCACGAGCTTCTACAAATGAAGCAAACAAGTCAAACATGCCAATGCTTAAATTCAATGCTATACCGTATCTCGCGTGCAGCGAGAATGATATGTGCCAAGCATGCAATGAACATTTGTTGCGCTGTCAAAGCAACCCTACTTGTAGACAGTCTCACAGACATGTTGTCTACCCTGTTGCCGAGACATGGGTGTCCCGGCAACATGAGTGGATGCTGTGGGCTGAAGTGGGACGGCGCCTGACCCATCAGGACATTGATCTTGTTCACCGCTACTTCCAATGGCCGGAACAACGTATCACAAATTTCGAGCAGACACTCACTCAGCAAAAACCTTTTATGGTTTTCTTCAGCTTTGTTTCTCTTTTGCAGCAAATTTGCCAGCACATTTGTGAGCAAAAACCTTTTGCATTTCGAAAAGTCAAGGCAAACTTTAACAGATGTCTGATGAGCACTCTTGATGACGTGATGAAGGGCTTTCAGGAGTGGGAAGTTCGCCTCACTTTACTTATCTGGGCTTATGTGTGGGACGTGATTGTCCTCATTCTCTATGGGGAAAAAAGACGAGGTCGAAAACTTAATGCCAGTGGGACGGCATCACGTTCCAAAAGTGCACAATCAACTGGGTGGTTTCTCGGGGCGTTCATGTCCTTCTTGGTCAGGTTAAGCCGGGTTGCTCTGTTGGTTTATGTTGCGAACTTGGCAGGTAAGTGTAGCACGCCAGCTGTGCTGCTTCAACACCCTTCAGACAGCAAAACCAGCAGGCCTTCGCGTAATGTTTGGGATCAGTTTCCGAATCTTTATGTGATCAAGGATTCAAATAGAAGAGAGCACTTCGGGACTCATGTTGATTGTTTTCAGGGAGACCTTGAAAAGACTTTGCGGTTCAATCGAGTCATTGGAGATGGCAATTGTCTCTGGAGAGCTATTGCTGCACAAACGCCAACGCGCATGAAGTGGTATACTCTCAAAAGACAAACCATCGCTTACATGAAGGCACAAGCAAGCGAAGCAAATCAACAAGAGCTTCTGCTGCATGTTGAAAAGTTGGCCAAGAGAAACGCTTGGGGCAATTTACTTGCCATACTTGGTGCTACCTCTCTTCTAGGCGTACCCATCTTCGTGACTGCTGGCGGACAAGTGATAAGATGCCTGCCTGGGTCTAACTCGGCTGCGAAGAGGAAGGGCGTCTATCTTCACTACAGTAACTTCCACTTTAGTGTGCTTGACCCAAAGTCAATCTCGAGTATTCCGTACTTTGGTGGAGATGAGCGATCCTACAGCCTCGGGCAGTTCACTGCTATCCCGATAGATAATTACCCGAAACACAAAGCTGTCATGCAGTATAGCAGAGGGATTTGTCACTCCAAACGTACCAGCGGCAGATGTTGTCGGCTGGCCAAGTTGCGTGCTGACTGTACGTTCTCAGCTTGTGCCCCACAAATATGTAAAACTGGTTTGCCGCAGACAAGGGCTGAAAGCACAAATTTAAGTCTCACTTTCGTCTCACCAACAATGGTCGGTGGTGGCAGTGGCAAGCCAATTTACAAACCAGCCGGCAATCCTTCACCAACCTCACGGAGGAGACTTGATGAATCGTTTGCAGCACAGGTGGAGCGTATCGCGAAAGCAAAGACAAGTTCTGTGCCTGCAGCATTTCGCAATCATCCTACGCCTACGCCTTCACAAACAAAGGCTGTGGAGGTGCCTCAAACTGAGGGGTCTACAAGCGTGCTCAAGGCTACACCAATGAAGAGGAGACCGCCTACTCCGCCTCAAAGACCAACACGTAATCCCAGCGCTGCGCCGAATTTGGTATTGGACTCGCCAAAGGCTGTACCTGCGCCCGCTGCCAATGCTCCGGCGACGACGCCTAAGCATAAGGCTATGCCGCGAGCTGCTTCTGTTGTGGTATCCTCCGCCATTGGGGGAATGACGCCCTCGGAGCCTGCTCACCCGCCTGCTCCGCCAAACTCTGAGGTCAGGGTTTTGCACATCCTCTCAGAGGGTGCACGTTTCAGAGTGGCTTATCCGTGGGAGACCAGAAGCAACTATTGGGTACAGAGGGATGTGCGTTGGTTGCGTGATGTGACCGAAGAGAGTACCGACTACTCACACATTGGCACATACGTGGACACCATCAGCAAATTCCTTCGCAATCCACAATTTTTGCAGGAAGTCAAGGATGCGCTTAAGCTGGCAGTGGAGTCTGAGCACTCAAACGTTGCGCTCGCTTTTAAATGCACAAGTGGTAGACACAGATCTGTAGCGCTCGCTGCAGTTGCTAGGGATATCATGCGGATCGTCTATCCTGAAGTTCAAATCCATGTGACGCACACTGCAGCCCCGCACTGGGCTCCGCAGATTAAGTGTGCAGGTCAGTGTAGCAGATGCACCATGATTCTCACCAATCCACCGCCGCTCTATAGCCAAACGGTTGAGAGGCTGGCGCGCGAATTCATTGTCGAGCTGCGCGAGAGGTATATGCAGGGTTTGTTGCCAGGGCAGTCTGAAGTACAACCTGTCACGTGCACTCATGCTCCTGAATCATTTCCCGGAGGCAATACCGGTAGCAACTATGTCATTGCGCAAGAATACCAACTTAGCCGCATTCCCATTGCAAGCGTTGATGGCACTTGCTGCAACCAGCATTTGTACACAACTTGCACGCCTAATGTCCCTGCACGCCCGTACAACTCAGCAAAAACCAATTTGGAGTTTGGAAAAAATTGCTTATCAACACCAGACACCGAAAGCAATTTACAGCAAGCAGCCTCCCCTCTTTCTTGGTTCCTTAAGTTTGCGGTTTTGGCTCTCTGTACCTTTATCCATGTTGTAAGGAAGGACAGTGCGCTTAGACTTCACCATCATGGAGCTGACGCTCGCATCAACGTGTTACATCAAGCACTAATAGGCGGTATGGACTCCTCTACTGGTGTTGATCCTCAGCTGTTTGAAGCCCTAAGTCCCATTCCCAATTCGGAAGATGACGTTGATGTTGATGATTTAGTTGCTTTCTACACTTCTTTACAATGCAGTTCTGAGCACAACCTTCTTGTTCCTTCAATTGAGTACAAACCGGAGCATTCACTATCCTGGGTTGGAGCACAAAAAGATTTCAGCGACGCCATTTCTGAGCATTCGCTGGTTGCCGCGACGCAAATTGATGACAGTTCTGAAACTTGGCAGGCTCAAAGTTCGGATGACCGTACTCGAACTTGGCACTGTAGCACACCGCCAGCTAAAAGAAGGTGTTTGCAAGCTCCTTTTTCGCACGGCGTTGATGGCCGGCTCAGTCTGCGCCCTAGCAATTGTGACGTTACCTTGCTTTCCAGAAACACTGATAGTGAAGCATCTAGCATACAAAACTTTCTTGAGACCAAAGGACACATGGATGAGTCAAATCAATCCAACGTCCCGCTATTACTTCCCACATTGCATCTTGCTTTTGGTCAGCTTCAGCGCCGTCAGTCATGTGTCGAAACATTACATGAACATGCACAAATTTGGCCAGATTTGGATTACAACAACGATCACGACAGTTCATCTTCGCATTTTTGGAGTCATTGGAGCATTGACTCCGATGGACACATGTTTCCAGGCAGGCAGCC